CTGAGACCAAACCCACGCCCTTGGTTTGAGTCATCTTTAATCGTTTATTGTCAAGACGCCTTTTTGGCAATCACCCACTGTGACGTACGCACTTCCTTCTCCAGTTTTATTTTCTTTATCTGTGATATATGTAGGATTTGACAATGTTGTGTAGTCATTTTGGTACAAATGGAAAACAAACAAAAAAAAACAACAAAAAACAGTGTCATGATAATGTATACAGCGACGTCAGTTCAGTTCCCTTTGGACACCAGAGTTTTGTAACACAGAAGTCAGCAGATTTGTTTCCTTTATTAAGTCGTTTTAGATGAATATTGTGATTTAAAATGTCCAAGACCCATGGGTGTCAGAGATTATAACTATAGAGCAGACACAAGCACAATAAATCTGATTTAAAGGGGCCAGATTATACATCCATGAGAACTTTTTTCCTGAAGCAGCCGTGGTCGAGCGAGTGAAATAAGTTGCGGTTTGAATATCTCCTCTGTCAGATTTGTTTGTGTCTCTGTTTTGTCCCTCGTCGAAGGATAAAGTTTATGAAGTTCTGACTGAGATCTGGGTCTGATAAGATTCAAATCTGCACGGCGACCCACAGCGGAGGCCTGTCCACTGGCTGAGAGAGACGGAGGTATGATCCGATTGGTTGAAAATCCAAAACATTAAATCCAAACGTCCGCAGAGAGAGATAAATCTGTTATCGTCATACATCTGTGTGTGAGCCGGTATTCATCATACTGTGGGGACCAAATCCTTTATGATCAGATCAACTACATGGTTTAAAATTCAGCTCTGGCTTCAAGTAGGCTTACGTTACAGAGGGAGTATTTTATTTTTATGGAGTATTAACTGCTAACACGTCACATATTTAGTTCACCATGTTATTTTTTTTATGTTTCAAAAATGCTATATTCACCCAAAACACCGTATTCAATTTGTTTTTATATTACACTTTTGTTTTTGATGTTCCGAGTCTCCCCTCCTTTTGCTCTCGATGCTAAGTCACTCCCCGTTCAGAGCGCTATCACAACACAATCAGCGTACATCCCAATAATGAAACTACTACTGCACATCGCTTCAGGTTTGTCAAGATGTTCTCAACGATTTTCTTTTTTACATGTTTTGTTTTTGTTTGTTTTTTTGCTTGTGGAGGGTTTGAATAGGGCATAGGAGAGATCGCTAAATGACTTAAACACGGATGGATGATATCTAAAACACTCTTCTTGTATGTTTTTGATGAGGGAACAATGTTATAACATGGTGAAAAGCGCCAAAAATGATCTTGCATAACACACATACCCTTTAAGGTGAGCATCAGTCGCCGTATGTGTGTGTGTGAGTGTGTGAGCGTGTGTGTGTGTGCGTACGTGTGAGTGTGAGTTAACCACATGGGATAAGTTGCTCTAAATATGCATCTGTTCAATTACCTTAAAACAACAGACTATAAAAATAAAGGTAAAGTGTCTTATCCAAGGACACACCGTCATAAGCAGAAGTCGTTAATTTGATCTTTGATTTAACATAATCTGAGCAGAAAGAGCTGGTTCAGTTGGAAGTACAACAAATGAGATGTTTGTTCTGTTTAACAAGACCCTCTCCATAATGTTGCAGAGAGAGAGAGAGAGAAAAAGAGAAATGAAAATGAGCAAAACACAGACATACACCAGCCTCTCACTCTCACTCTCCTCTGTCTCCCTCCCTTCTCTCTTTCCTCTTTTTTGCCCCCACCTCCTCTTTTCCTCTCTACTCCCCCTCTCTCCTGTCTCCTTTCTCTCTATTTTACTTTCTATCCTCTCGTTTTTCTATCTCACTTTCCCTCCATTGAATCTTTCTGTCTCACTCTCTTTACCCTCTTTCTCATCTCTTTCTCCTCCATTTCTCTCTCTCTTTTTCTCCTTCATCTTTCACTCTCCTCTCGCTCTCTCTCCTTCTCTTCTCTCTCTCTCTCTCTCCCTCCCACTCTTTCTCGTTTTCTCTCTGAGGCCCTGCACAGATGGAGACTAATAATAAATCACTTTAAACCAAAATAACAACAAAGTTTAAGTTTGGCTCCAGAAGAAACAGAGAAACAGAAGAGAAACAGAAACAGACCAGAGCTTAGTCCTGGTCTGAACCCGGGTCTGAACCAGGTCCTGATCAGGTCAGACGTGTCACAATAATTATTACATGGACTTATTGTTATGAAAGCTCGAACAATGTATTATGGGGCTCAGTATTTATCATGTGTACAATTTTTGGGGGAATTTAGGGTAAAATTTGAGCTGTATAATCTTGAATAAATAATTTCTATGGCTAATTATTGGTTCATTTTGCTGTTTATGTGTCTATTTTAAAAAACATTTACTCAGATTGTCCTGCTTTGTCCGGACCCAGGTCTGAGCCAGGTCCTGATCTGAAGATTATGTGACACTTTAATGAACTCTCTTTTCTTAGAATTGTCCTCTGTCCTCCAGATGTGGATGTGGACTGCTTCCTTCCTCTCTCTCACCTTCCTCTCCTCTTCTTTCACCCTCTTTCTCCTTCTGGTCTATTCTCCCCTTTTCTCTCTCTCTCTCTTTTCTCCTCTTCTCTCTCCTCTCTTCTCTCTTTTCCCTTCAGACACAGGACAGATGTGAATGGACAGATGTGACTAAAGTTTAATCCCGGGTCGTTTCCGGTTTCCGTGACGACACAAAGTGATGTAACACAATCATAATCCAGACAATAATAATCTGCATCATATGACCTCACAGGCCCCGCCTCTTCGGCCTGCCAAACAAAGTCACATGACCCCCCCCTTTTTTTTAAAGCAGACATGTTGGGCTCTGAATTTATGACACCTGAGGATCATTATGATAGAATCTGGACATTTTAAATCACAATATTGTTCAAAAATTACTTCAAAACTAATCTGCTGACTTCTGCGTTACGAAAACTGTGGTACCCAATGGGAGCTGATGCCAATTGTTTTTTTTCATTTGTACTAATTTGTACAAATATATCACAGAAAATGCCGAAGGAAGTGCTTATGTCACAGTGGGCATGTACAGTGAGGGCTGATCGGCAAAATAAGAAAATAAGTTTTAAAAATAAGATTTACTTCTATGTGTTAACTGCTAATTAACACATATTTAGATCACCATGTTACCTTTTATTGGTTTAAAAATGCTAGATTTGCCCAAAACAGCATCACTCCCCCTTCAGAGCACTATCACAACACAATCAGCCTACATTCCGCTAATGAAACTGCTGCACATTACATCAGGTTTGTCAAGTTGATGTGTACAATTCATATTTTTGTATATTTATGGAGAATTGTCATGCAGGAGTTTAGATGTAGGCTTGTGGGTGGAGCCTTGTACAGGCTCATACTGCTAACTGAAGGAGGATTCGAATAGGGCAGGGAGAGATCGCTAAAATACTCAAACATGCATGGATGACATCTGAAAAACGCTTTTGCATAATACTCCCTCTTTAATATTTGCGCGTGATGAATTCTCCCTGTGGAGTTTGCATCTTCTGCCACTGTCTGCATTCTCCACCTCTGTAAACATGTGCACCCTCTGAAGAAGATTCTGAGGAGCTATGAATCTGTCCTGGTTAACTAAAGGTCAATTAAAGGTTCTCGCTTTGGCTATGAACACTCCTAAAAGCTATGACCATGTTTTTGCCAATTCTGAATAAATTTGATACAAACCTCAGCCCCACAAGTTTCTAACACTGTGTTTGTTTCAGAAGTCATTAGAGGTCCTATACTACGCAAATCCATTTTAGAATGCTCTGTTTCACCTTGTGATGTCATGAAGAGATACGTTAACAGCTTCCTTTTACCTTTATTTCTACAGAAATTGAAATCCCAGAGCTGAAATTATCCAAATGATTATAATGAAGGTGAATGGAGTTTAAAAACACAGTGGAACATTTTCTGTGTTACCATGTGACATCACAAGGTGAAACAAGGTGTTTTCAGTCTGATTGAAGAACTCAGTCTAAGTATGCAGGATTTTTCTGTTCAACAAACCCTCTTGAGATTAAAAAATACAATTATGGAACATTAAAAAATCCAAATTGGTCCAAAAGAGAGGAGTCTAACCCACAACCTCAGGCTAACAACAGAAACACATTCCACTCAGAGAGATCAGAAGTCTAACCCACAACCTCCTCACTGAGAGGAGACAGGATAACGGCTCTGCCACGGAAGATAAGGAGAGTGTTAACAAGCTCCAAGTAGATCACTGATCGATCTCTAACAATCAATACAAGCTCACTATTCACTGCAAGAGCAGGTTAAACTGTCACCGCTCCATCCTCCTCTATCCCTGTGTCAGATGCCCTCCCATCCTCCTGTATCCCTGTGTCAGATGCCCTCCCATCCTCCTGTATCCCTGTGTCAGATGCCCTCCCATCCTCCTGTATCCCTGTGTCAGATGCGCTCCCGTCCTCCTGTGTGTCAGATGCCCTCCCATCCTCCTGTATCACTGTGTGTCAGATGCCCTTCCATCTTCCTCTATCCCTGTGTGTCAGACGCCCTCCCTTTCTGACTAATGACTTCTTTAATGACTTTGGCTGTTCCCGCCCGCCTCAGGTGACCCCGGCCTCCCGCAGGTGAATATATTGAACACAGCTGAGGTCTGTTTGATTGACAGCTCTCACACGGACTTCACGCGCCTCACCACCTGTCCACGGGCACGTGTAGCTCCACACGCACGCGCTCCGTGCTGTTCCCGCGCGCACAGGCATTAGGGCCCCCGCGCGGCACCTATGCGCACCTCCACCCCCCTCCACCCCCCGCGCAGCTATAGGATCTGCGCGACAAGAGCGGTACTGGAGCGGCAAGGAGCGGCAAGGAGCGGCAAGGAGCGGCAGAGCGGTGCAGAGCGCGCACGTGAGCGCTGACAGCTCCTCTCCGCATCTCTGCACACCGCCACCGGCCACAGCACCACCGCCGCACCACCGCACACCGGCCTCCCCAAGGCCCTCTGCCCGAGTCTGCGCTCTGTCCCCGGGGACAGCTCAGACCAAACCCCCGGAGCTCCCGCGGAACCCAAGGTCACACGCCACTGACTCCGCTCCGGTTCCTGCATCCGGAGCATTAACGTCAATCCCATGAACTATCACCGTGTGCGCGCGCGTGCATGTGTGTCCAGTGCTTACCATACACGCCCTGCGCGTGCACAAGGCGCAGGGAGCCGGTGAAGAGGCCGAGCGTCAGCAGCAGCGCCAGCGCCATAGTGTCCAACCCAGAACCCAACCAGAACCACGGCCCGAACCTAGGCCCGAACCGGGCTCTATGCGTGCCCGTGCGCGTGCCCGCCGCTCATATCACGCGCACGTCTCCTTCATCGTGACACTGTGACAGAATCCACTCAGAGAGACGCGGAGAGGAGGGGGCAGCGCAGCGGGAGCTCTGCCGGCGACCGCAGCGCGCAGCCCGGCTCTGGTCCATCCTCAGACCCGCTCTGATCCTGGTTCTGGTTCGGTCCTGGTCTAATCCAGATGTAGTTCGAGTAATCCTGGTCTGGGTCCGATTTGGTCCTGGTTTAGTCCTGGTCTGGGTCCGGCTTTAGTCCGGTTTAAACGTGATTTCCACCAGGGTTTAATCCTTGATGAATCTCAGGTTTGGTCCGGTTTAGTCCTGGATTAGTCTTGATTCAGACTCGTTTTAGTCCGGATTTAGTCCTGTGCTAGTCCCGGTCCCAAAGCTCCAGGGACAGCGGTGCGTCGCGCTGCTGTGTCCGGGGACAGCAGCCTTCGGTCCGGGCAGCTCTGGTGCAGCCTCTCGGTGGAGCCTCGGTAGGACGCGAGTCTCCGCTGGCCGCTGCCGGTGTGACGTCACGGGAGACGTCAAGCGTCACGCACGAGCCCCCGGAGCCCGTTCCGGATGGAGAAAGTAAAAGCTCGAGACCAAAGTGGTGCTGATGAGAGCGGGGCCTAGCAACGGTTACCAAGGCCCGCCGCATCTCTAACTGAGCAGAGGATTGTGCGGTTTGTGCGGGACATATGCACCTTTACGCACGGGAGGAGGAGCAGTGAGAGGGACAGAGAGAGGGGGAGAAGGGGAGAGAGAGACAGAGATACAGAGAGAGAGAGAGAGAGAGAGAGAGAGAGAGAGAGAGAGAGAAGAGAGAGGAGGGGGGCAGAGAGGGAGAGAGAGAATGAGAGACAGAGAGAGAAGAGAGAGGAGGGGGGCAGAGAGGGAGAGAGAGACAAAGACAGAGAGAGAGACAGAGACAGAGAGAAGGAGAGAGAGACAGAGACAGAGATAGATTGAGAGAGAGAGAGAGATAGACAAAGATAGATTGAGGGAGAGAGAGGGAGAGAGAGAGAGACAGAGAGAAAGAGAGAGGGGGGCGCAGAGAGAGAGGAAGAGGAGGGGGGCAGAGAGGGGGAGAGAGAGACAGAGAGGGGGGAGAAATCTTTGAGAAATTTTGAGACATCATCCCCTGCTTGTCCTATTATTTATTTGTTTAAATGTAATTTAATTTGTATTTTCTGTTTTTATTTGTTGAGGAAAGTCTCGAGATGCATCACTGTCTCTTGTCACAGATTGTCTTAGATGTCTCAGATTTCCATTACAATCTACTTTGCCTGGTCATTTCCCTCAGAGACTCACTGTATTATAACACAAATTAATTCATCTGCCCTCATCTCTATTAAATGGCTGGACTATGGGATGTATGTCATTTGAAACAATAATTTATCACTTACTCACCGCTTAGCTGGCCCATCCTGGTAAAGTTCTAGTCCTGGTCTTTTTCTGGTCCTGGTTCTGGGGTGTTTCCGGGATGTTTTTATTCTGAAATCCGAACCTGTGCCAAAGCGCGCGCTCTTGACGTCACTCGCACTAATCCTCCGCGCGCCTCACGCCTCTGACGTGACTCACGAGACCCACCGGACTGGAGGCGTGCGCGTGTCCGTCTGCGTGCGAGCGCGTCCGGTCCCGTCTTCATCCTCCTGTGTCAGATGCCGTCCCCTTGTGTCAGGCGCCCTCTCTGTGTCTTAAATTGTGTCAGATGCCCTCCCTGTCCTGGGTTAAACGTTTTGGTTTCACTTTGTCTCTCAGACCGCAGTAGCAGCTCCATTATTCACAGCCGCATCAATAAAACATCAGAGAAAACATCTGAAATGCACTCTGGGGCCCAAGACCTGTTTTAGTCCTGGTTTTAAACCATGTTTAGTCCTGCTTTAGTCCCAAAGTTAGAGGAAAAACTGTCCTATCTAAAGTGTCTTGTGTGATTTTTATTTTATTTTTTGCCTTTATGTCTCTAAAAACAAGTCTAAAGCAGGTCTTAACCAGGTCTGAACCAGGTCTGAACCAGACTGGGGCAGGAGGGAGAGACTTATGGCCTCATTTGGTTTTTAGACTAGTTCAGTTCTAGACATTTAAAATAAAAGTGAAATGTCATTTTAGTTCTAGCTGACCTGGAACTTTAGATTAACAACTAGGAGTAAAAATGCAAGATTACTGATACATGTGAGAACTCAACAAAACTCTAGGTGTTTCTGAGGAGAACACTACATTAGAACAGGGTTAAAGCCCCACTGTGGGACATTTCGTCACACTAGAACATGGTATACGAGGTTTAAGATAACGATCAAACAAATCTGATTTGAATAAACTTTAATGAAATTAAAATATCTCCATGATAACATTCAAAGACACGAAGGGTCAAGGGGTCGCAGATGAGGTCAGGGTTCAGAGGTCACAGGGTCACAGGTGGGGTCAGAGGTGGTAGTTCGCACAGAGCTGTCACTCAAAACACTGCTACGGACTTCCTTCCAGGTCAGAATCTGATCAGACAAAGTTTGAACCTCGGCCACAAGTGACAGTAGCTGAGAGAGGGAGGAGTTCTGAGGAGAAAGAATCATGGGTAATGTAGTTTATGACAGGTATATCGGCTGTATAAAGAAGTGGACCGAGGGAGTGTGATGGCACCCACAGCATTTGTTACCTCTGCCAAGGAGGTTATGTTTTGCCGGCATTTGTTTGTTTGTTTGTTTGTTTGTCTGTTAGCAACATAACTCAAAAAGTTATGGACCGATTTTGATGAAATTTTCAGGATTTGTAGGAAATGTGAAAAGGAAGAACTGATTTCATTTTGGGGGTGATCCGGAAGAAATCCTGGATTCTGGATCACTTTGAAATTTTAGTTAACATTGTGGTAAATGGGGCCAAAAGTTTTGTTTCTCAATTATCTCGGTTAATTATTGACCAAACCCCGTGAAATTTGACTCAGGGATGGACAATGGGATCCTCTTTCATATTCCAAAGGCTGATCCGGATCTGATCCAGAAGACTGATTTTATCGCAATTTATATAAAAAATGGGGGTAGTCCTTGGCGGAGGTCTGCGCTCTCTGAGTGCTTTTCTAGTTTCCAAATGTTATAGCAGCTAATCTGAAGCCGATTTCCATATTTGAAATTCCAATTGCGAGTATCATAGTAAATAAAAAGACATTCGTGTCTTGATTTAAGAACAAAATAGTGGAATCAAACCCCCAGAATCATGTAGTCGAGTCAGTGGTGCAGGAAGTGTGCACATGCTCACTTCCTAGTTTTAATGTGGTGGTTATTGTGTTAGCTATATCCATTTTTACATACGGTCTGTGAGGTGGACACAGTGGACCTAAAGGTCAGTCCAGACCAATCAAGTCGACTCTTGCAAAAATACAGTGAATGCATTTGTCCAAACCATTAGAGAAAAAAATAAAGTCCACACTCAGATATGCTGATATATACACTGATATAGATATATAATTTTGTAAATATGTTTATGTACTGACCATCTCTGTGAGGCGTTCAGGAGCACTGGGACTGCTCCGGACACACAAGATCTTCTGCTCCAAAGTCTCAATGAAGTCCAAGAACATCCGCACCACTTCCACCACAAATCTACAAAGGGATACTCACATTTACAGGGGAATGTAAAGAGCAGTGAATGCACCTCTTCCACTACAAATCTGCAGTGCAGTACACAGTGAACCAGAGAGCTCGCTGCTAAAGCGCAGCTAGGCTAAATCTCACAAAGCTTACGAAAGCTAACTTTAAGATGCTTTGAGGATTTAAACATTTTAAAAAGGTGATATTAATATAAAAAATACTGATATAAAAATACATAAGAATTCCGACAAAATCTGCCTTTTGTGAAAACCTGGAGCGGCCACTTGTCGATTTCTCCCCAGAAAAAAGGGTGGTTATAGATTCATGGTCCCCTTCCTGAAAGGAGCTGAATGCTTTTCCAGATCTGAACCTGGTACTGACCAGTAGGACCCGGCTGGAGGAGTGACCAGTGCAGGTGGACAGGGACTGGCAGGTGTTACCTGTGCAGATGGGCAGGGACAGGCAGGTACGTCTGTCCCAGGGGCCTCAGGAGTCTCTGTCTGAGCCGGGTCTGGTCCCGGAGCACATCCTGAAGGTGAGAAGAAAAGCGCTGCAGCCGCTCAAACTGATGCACTGAAATAGACAGGTGAGAAACAGGTGAGAGACAGGTGAAAAGCAGGTAAGAGAAGTTCCAAATAATTAAGTTATAAAATACCTCCTGCAAAAATAATTATTCTGTCTAAAAGCTGGGGACCCTAGAGTTCAGAGCTCTACCGTCTGTTCTGAAATGTCCCTGTGTGTCAGATGCCCTCCCTGTGTGTCAGATGCCCTCCCTGTGTGTCAGATGCCCTCCCTGTGTGTCAGATGCCCTCCCTGTGTGTCAGATGCCCTCCCTCTGTGTGTGGAGTCTTATTCTGTGTAAAAACTGCTAAACCTGTAGTTTAGACCTCCACAAAATGTGGTGTGAAATGTATGGGCAATGTGTCATTGAACTACTGAATCTTTCTCAGTAAAATTTAAAAAGCCACACTCACTGAGGTGAAAGGGGTGAGTGACATCTGCATTTAGTTTCTCCATCTGCAGCAATTCCATCTGTAACTGTAACTGAACCAGAGAGACTGATCAGAAACCAGGGCTAAACCAGAGAAATCAGTCAGAAACCAGGACCTGCACTAAACCAGTACCTGGTCCAATTCTCTCTGTGTTCTGAATCGTTCCTCTGCTCTGGACAGGTGAGAGGAGAAGGTGGGGCTTGCATCAACAAGGGCGGAGTCTATCTCCTCCTGAAACAAGACAGCTCTTTTCTTTTTGGACATTTCTTAAGAAAATATCACATAAGGGCTTTTTCTGGTCTACTGGTCTAATAAGATTATACATTTTAAACCAAATAAAAGGGTACAATATGGTCACTGAAGGCTTTTCAACAGAGAACACTGTATGTAACAATACCAATCCAAATAGCATTACTGTCGCAGGGCTCCTCTGGACACACACCTGGACAGAGCCAGCTACCTGTCCCACTCCTCTGTTCTGTGTCTACTGTTGTTCTTACTCTCTGTTAAGCTCAGGTGTGTAGTCTTTACTCAGCCCTGTTGTGATTGGTCAGTGCTCACCTGTCTCAGGGCTCCTCTGGACACACACCTGGAGAGGACACTTGCTGCAGGAGTCACAGAGAAGGTGGTCAACTCTCTCTGCAACATCTGGAACAAAACAAGGGAAGGAGGGGTTTACAGTGAGGGGATGTAACACTAGTAAATACTCCATAAAGGGAGGGTCAGATTCAGAAAAAGGAAAATAAAGTAATAATGTAAATCCAGCAGACATATATGAAATTACTGTGACATTAAACAAAACCATTTTATATCTTGTAACACATTTTACATATATTGTAGATATTGTAGAAGCATCCTAAACCAACCCTATAGACACCTGGAGAGGGTCAGAGGGGTACTGTAGCTTTGTATGGGTTCTGGGGTACTGTAGCTTTGTTATATGCTTAGAGGTTAATGTAAACAAACACTGAGATCCAGAATGTGTGTGTGTTTTTTTTAGGTGGTGAAAATTGATATTGGGATCTGGCTCTCAGAAAATTGTGATATGGATTTTTTGACATATTAGCCACCCCAAGACTGAATCATGTATCTTTAAGCAGTCTTGTCCTGGTCCTGGTCCAGGCTCATATATTTTTCAGTGTCCGGTTCTGACCCAAAACTCAGACTCAGCATAAACTCACATCACAGATATGAGGCCTTTAAGAGCACCTGCAGCAGTTTGAGAATCCTGGTTTACATTAAAGACAGAGAGAAGAGAGAGAGGAGAGGAAAGAGAGAAAGAGGAGGAAGAGGGGAGAGAGAAAAGTGGAGGAAAGGAGGTGGGGGTGGAAGATAGAAGAGGAGAGGTCATTTAGGATCACCTGCAATTTGGGGATACACTATGTTAAATACAGAGAGAGAGAGATGAGGAGAAGAGAGAGAAGAGAGGTGGAGAAGAGAAAAGGGAGAGAAGTCATTAGAACACCTGCAGTTTGGGGATACACTACTTTAAATACAGAGAAAGAGAGAGGGGTGAGGAGAGGTCATTCAGAACACCTGCAGTTTGGGGATAGACTCATAGACTGTCTACAGAAGTGGACTGGAGTGTGACGTCACCCACAGCGCTCGGCTCCAGCCAAATGAAGTGCTTCAAGGCTAGCAATTACGGGGGAAAATTTGGAGCAGCACTGTCATCTCAGGGAAAGAAGACATCTGATTAATGTTCATATCTTGATTCATGGACAAAATTATGGCTGACAGCAGTAGCTACGGAAAATAGGGATTTTTTTTTTTAGTAAAAAGTGAATTGAAGCTAGAATCGATGGAGCCGAAGCACCCACATGTGCTTCCTGTTTAGTACACGGTGACATGTAAATACAGAGAGAGGCAAAAAAGCAGAGAGAGAAAGAGAAGAGGTCATTAGAAACGTGGGTTGTCAAAAGTATTGAAAATGAAATAGTAATTGATACAAAACTAGTTCTGAAACTAGACACTCATTTGAGCAGGTATCAATACTAAAAAAGTCACATTCACAAGACAGAAAAAAACTTCTCAATAGCTTTAGAATAATCTTGAGCTGGACCAGAACAAATATAAGAGCACATAGACTAGTATACGCCCTTGGACCAGTATGGAACCTATCTGGACTACTGAGGGATTACACAGATATAAGAGCACATGGTAATATTAAAGAAGCTACAATGACTTAATGTTGAAAATATATCACATTATATTGTCTAAAGAAAGAGTATTTTTTTTATTTTTATAATCATCCTGGTATCAGAATTGGGTATCAAGTAATTTCCTTACTATCAAAATCAATGTTTATATTAAATTTAAAAGACATAATTTGGAGAAAATAATCAAAATTGTCTCCACATATCGAGCCAAAAATAACGGCACAAATTATCAGCCATCAGTTTCTGGATTCTAAGAGAAGTACTTTTTCAGTAGATTTTTACATATGACGTACTAGTACCTGTAAATAATAATTCTAGTAATGCAACTACTGTACTTCTACTGAAATAAACATCCTAAGTATTCACTTTAATAAGATATTTATCCAAAATATTCAGTTAACTAAATACAAAAGTTTCCTCTTGGTTATAATCACAGCAGTTTGAGCGGGTGTCAGAGCAAAACAGTGAATAAATAAAGTAATAAATAAATCTAATAGCACAAATCATTTTAACAGATAGCTACACCAAAAACAAAACTTACTTTGGCTCTGATTATGCAGGCGTTCGATCCGGAGCAAAGTGTTGTATAAACGTGACGTGAGGCTGAGATCCGAGGATTTTATTTGGTTTGATTAAAGTCAAAATGTGAAAAAAATTATACTCAGAAAACAAAAGAAGCCGCCTTCAGTTTGAGCATGTTTCTGTTTCCGGTTTGTGCTGCCCTCCCGTGGACACTCCGGACACCTGCACCATGGAAATTTAGATTATTAGACCCAGTTTTTTGAGTGTAACACGTATACAGATACACGCAAACAAAACAAACAAACAAATAAATATGTCACGTCTTTAGAATAAAAGTGCGCTTTTATAAATATTAAGGGAATGTTTTGTTTTGACGTTAGCTTAAAGTGTAATTATTACTGCTTTAAATTGTTTGCCCTTATAAACATCTACAAGAAAAATACATGTTATTATGTTATACATGTTAGTACAGAATATAAAGTATGTTTATTATCATTTCAATCATATTTTTAAATGTATTTTTTAAATTGAATAACACATTCTTGTGCGCATGCGTGAGCCCCTGGTCCCAACAGTACAGTGATCACAGGCGTGCGGTGTTTTTCACTTTTATTTACAGTTTTAAGCTTTAACACCATATAATTTTAACATTTAGATACACGTGCAGGTATATTCTGTTACTCTAAGGTGGGTAAAGTGATATTTGTGGTTTTGGTGTTAACTTATTTGGCTGTAAATTACCGCACTAACGGGACTATGCTAACGTGCTAATGCGGCTAGCTTCAGATTCACGCCCAAAACAAAAACATTTCTGTGAAAATATGAAATTTTAGCTCCGTGTTTTAATGTTTACTCTATCCACTCGGGATTACAGGGCTGTAGTACGCCTGGGGTGCGACACCAGGGCTTGTACGAGCTTTGTGCCCGAGTCTGAGATTGTTTTGTGGATCTAATCTCAGGATCTCAGCAGCTGATCTTATTAACGCTGACCGAAACAGAGAGAGTGTTAGGCGGACATAGACAGCAGCTCGTCCCGCTGAGAAGAGCCCACAGTCGGCCATGAGCTAACCCTCGGGCCCTAGAGGAGAGAAGGGCCGTCTCGAGGAGCTACTGAGAAGTGAAGAAAAGCAGAGAGTCCCGGAGAGGAGGAACAAGAGCTGGGAGAAGGAAGACTGGGAGCCTGGGTAAGGAGAAGGGAGAGGGATCGTCTGGAAAAGCTGCTGGGTGATAGAGGAGAGAGACACAACCCAGAAGAGCAGAAGGGGGAGGTCCGAGAGAGGAGAGGAGGAGTTGCGGAGCAGGGACAGGAGCAGGACCGGAGGAGAGAAGATGGGGAACAGTGCTCTAAAGTCCCACCTGGAGACCTCTCAGAAGACTGGAGTGTTCCAGCTCACAGGGAAAGGCCTGCAGGAGGTGAGGAATAGAGACAGTACACACCTGTGGCACCAACAACACTGTAGATGACTAGCCTAGGGTGACTAAAATAGATTAGTCCCAGTTTTGAGCCCTGTGTTCCCTGTCCCAGCAGATTTGTCCAAAACCATTTATTTGTCTCAGCCTTGGTGTATCCAGTTTAGAATTTTGAAAATCTTGTCACCCTAGTTTAACATATGAATGATTATGCAAAATATGACTCAGGTGACAGCTCGCACCAATAAGGATTAAAACTATAGGAATAATCTTTATGGTAAACTGTAGTAACCAACATCCAGTTCCAGTATTAAACCATCTTTTGTTATGTGTTAGACTGGAGGGATTACACAGACCTTCAAAACATTTGTCCAAAGTGAGACTTTTATTTGTGAATATGTGACTACAGTATGACACTATAAGACACAAGGTCATGAGTTTAAATACATTTGGTCATGTGATGAGTTTTTGTTGTTGTGTTTCGTTGACATTGCAAATATTAGATTTGGCTCATATCGTGTTACCAGAGAGGACAATGCCTCCTGCTCTGTGTCTGTTGTGCTACTGCTGCTTATCAAAACATTGATTATTTTATATCATTATCTTTATATCTTACTCAGTGTTACAGTTGATAATGAGTTGTTGTTCTAATACATTTGTTCTGTCAGTACCCAGAGGAGCTGCAGCGTCTCACCTCAAACCTTCGTACAGTCGATCTGTCAGGAAACAAGATTGAGGTGCTTCCTGCTTCGATTGGGAACTTTCTACAGATGAAGAGTCTGACGCTCAACGCAAACAGGCTCAGTGAGTGTTTACCTAATAAGAACCATGTTATCATAGCTGTCTCACACTTAAACTAAACACAGTGACTCCATCTGTAACAAGACGACATGCATGATTCTACACAATTTAAAGACACTTTATATAAAGAACAGGAAATAACCAAACACATGAGTAATGAGGCACTGGGTGATGAAGGGAAACTTGTGACATGTGTGCGTTTGTGAATCATGTGTTTGTTTTATCAGCATAAAAGCAGCAATTGATCATCATAATCAGTTTAAAACTATTTTACACAACATTATCACAAGTCTCTCATTTGAGTTGCTAGTTTCGATAATGAAATCCAGTTGGTTTAAACCCATAATCCTCTCCGATTTGAATGGTCACTACCTAATCTCCAGCACCTGCACCCAATCCCAAGTTGGTGCTAGTGCAGCCTCTGCAGCTCATTGAGGGAATTCTGGAGGTTCTGAGCTTTCACCTGCCCATATACTGACAATGTGTGTGCTTGTGTCTGCTCTATAGTTACTATTGACCTGACACCCGCTGTGAATCATTATGTTATAATTTGGACAGGTTAAATCATAATATTGATCGAAAATAACTTAATAAAAGAAACAAATCCACTGACTTCCATGAAATCTCTTTAAATAAACTTGAGAGGGAAATGTGCACGTCACATTTTCACCACCACCGGTGTGTACCGGATTAAATATTACTCAAATATGCATGAATCACTCCAAATACAACTTCAGAGGATAAAATGAAAAGGAAACAACTATAATATGGTTAAAAGCTTTGAAAAGTTGCTCTTGCAAGCCAACCCAGGTTCAGTTTTAAAATGGTCAGAGCACAAGATATGTGTATATGTATACAGTTTCTTTAAGTCCTGTTTTGTCTCCTCACAGCAAGTCTTCCCCCAGAGATCGGCAAACTGAAGAAGCTGGAGACACTGAGCTTGAACCAGAACCAGCTGCAGCGTGTCCCGGGTACCCTGTGCGACCTCAAAGCCCTGAGAACGCTCTCTCTGTCGGGTAACCTCCTCTCGGAGCTGCCCCCGGGGCTTGGGGCTCTCAGGCATCTAGATCTACTCGACCTGTCCCACAATAAGATTCAGGCCATCCCCCCAGAGGTCCAGGAGCTACAGGTCATCGAGCTCAACCTCAATCAGAACCAGGTAGTGACCCAGGACACAACCAGAACCAGGTACTGACCCAGAACTCAACTAGAAGCAGGTACTGACCCAGGACACAACCAGAACCAGGTACTGACCCAGAACTCAACTAGAAGCAGGTACTGACCCAGGACACAACCAGAACCAGGTACTGACCCAGAACTCAACTAGAAGCAGGTACTGACCCAGGACTCAACCAGAACCAAGTACAGAACCAGGACCAGGTACAGACCCAGGACTCAACCAGAACCAAGTACAGAACCAGGACCAGGTACAGAACCAGGACCCAGGTACTTATTCAGACCTGGTTTAGTCCTGGTTTAGTTACAACTTGAACCTGATTTAGTCCTTACTTAACACCTGGTGTTAACCTCGTGTAGTCCTAGTTTAGATTTGGTCCTTGGTTAGTCCTACTTCAGAACTGATTTAGTCCTAATTCAGACCTAGTTTTAGTCCTGCTTTAGTTCTGATCTGATCTCTCTGAGTGGAGTGTGCATGTCTTTCCTGCATTACTGTACAGAGAGGAGCCCCTGTCTCCTCTCAGGGCAGAGGTTGTGTGTTAAACTCTTGCTGGTTTAGCTTTGTCTCAGGTTGTGTGTTGTATTCCAGATCTCATCCGTGGCCCCCTCCATTGCTCAGTGTCCGCGGCTGAAGGTTCTGCGTTTGGAGGAGAACTGTCTGGAGCTCTCTGCTGTCCCTCAGACGGTGCTGGTGCAGTCTCAGGTGTCTCTGCTCTCTCTGGAAGGAAACCTGTTTGAGGTGAAGAAACTCAGAGATCTTGAAGGATATGATAAGGTAAAACTGTGCTCTTTTATCTAGTTAGTCAGTCTCGTGACATGCAAAATTTGAATATCTATTATAACATATATATATAATTTTGAAATATCAATATAAGTTGAAATCATGCAAACATTCTGATTAAAAACCAAAGTGATATGAAATTTCTTTGCACTGTTTCTCCTTTCGATCTCTTGTATTGCTGGGATTCAGATGACATCACAGCATTCTACAGATGGGGGGATGCTAAAATTAATATTGTTCAGCTGCAGATTTCTGTTGTAATATAACGTCTTGGGTCTTGGGTCTAGTCAGTAATAGAAATGATCAGGATCAATATTTGGGAATTTAACTTACCAATATTTCATGGAAAAGGACAATGGAATTAACAGGAATAACTGTCTCTTGCCCTCCCATCTGAAAGTATAACATCATCACATTGTAGAATCTGAAAAGAGAGGCTATGACCAGGTGCAGCTACGATTGAGCTTAACATGAACACTGCATTTAGTACCAACTCCATTCATTACATGGGCGTAGCTAAGCCATGAAGCGTTTGGACTGCCTTAAGACTTAGTGGTTTATACCTGGTTTAGTGCTGGTTTAAACCTAGGTAAGACCTGATTTAGTACTGGTTCAGTTCTGGTTCTTGCACTTAAACCTCTGTGTCTCTTTTTCAGTACATGGAACGTTTCACCGCCACAAAAAAGAAGTTCACCTGAAGGCCCGGGATGTAAAACTAATGGAACATATAAACTTCAACAGAATTTAACCTCAAGAAACAAGAAATATTTCACAAAAAAACTGACAAAAACTAAGAAACACTAAAGACTAATGCACCAGAGCACAGCGCTATGACGCAAATGTTTTTTTTTATTGATGTGTTGCATTAAAGTGCCTATGACAGGTTGAATTATTCATTAACTAAAACACAGTGAAGATTAATGTATTTAAGATTTTACAAAAAAAAATGTACCTTTTTTCTCAGTTTGCCCATTATTTTGGTTTCAAATTTTACTTCCTAGTTAGAAATCATGACGTCATACTTGGGTAACAACACTATGTCAAAACTCCCCCAATGTACACATAGATGATTTCACAAATAAAAATATAACACCTCAATTTTGCTGAAATCATGTTAAAAATATTGGGAAAAAAATAGTTTCTTGTGTAAATAGTTCTTAACATTTCCATTTCTAAAATAACTCTCTACTTCTACTACTTTTGTAATTTTCAACATATTTTTCAACTTTTGTTGAAAAATATTGTTGTAAAACTAGCAGTTATATTTACAACATGAATTTCCCCACTAAATGAAGTGTAAATTAAAGAATTATCAGAACCTGTCATATGCACTTTAAATGCATAAGCTGTCCGTTTGCCAACTCCATGTTAAAACTATGTCGTTGAAAAACATGTTAAAGCTCGTATATTTTATTTACATAATTCCTTTGCTCTGTTTCAGATGACATCACCACTATTTGTACACCTACAAAGAGTAGATTTAATACAAATGGGGGCAGTTAAAATGAATCTAGTTGCAGATTTCTGATAGAATAATGATTAGGTTCAACATTTGTGAATTTACCTTTTGGATATTTCATGGCAAAGTACAATGTAATCAACAGGAAAAAACTGTCACATCCTAGAATCTGAAAAACACCTGAGAGTCTGGAGAAGGTAATTGGACTTCTGGAGCACCACCTGATGACATTATAAGGTGTGTTGTGTGCTGTGCAGATGGAGACAGTTTTAGGATTACTGAAACATGTGAATGAAACAAAACAACCAGGAATGTTTCTGAAGAGGACACTATATTAGAACAGGGTTAAAGCCCCACTGTGGAACATTTCATCATCAGAGACCTGGTTTAGTCCTAGGTTAGACCTTGAATAGTTCTGTTGGACCTGGTTTAGATTTGGTGGTACTTGGGAAACCAAATGGTCTATGTTATAATGTTGTTTCCTCATCACAAACAAACCTGGAGATGTGTTTTGTCTCATTCACACACGTTTAACACACAAACCTGCATATTGAAGCTGAGTTTTCACTCACACAGAAAAAAGTGTGTTCCACCTTGTGATGTCATGTGGTAATAAAGGTGTTTTTAAACTCCTCTCCTCCACTTCTCTAGAATCATTTGGATAACTTTGGCCCTGGAATTACCAGTCTCTACTGAAATGAAGTTAAAAGGTACCTGTTCACTTCTGCTTCATGACATCACAAGGTAGAATGGAATTTTGAGCTTTGGAGATGTAGCCAGACTTATAGTAAAGGATTTCTCAAATGTGCGAATGAAACAAAACACAACTCCTGGTATATTAAAATGTGATAATCACGAGGAGGTGGTTAGGAGCCTTAAAATATGTGGCATGAAGTTTAAATCTAGGTCCAGTGCTGTTTAATCTGGCCAGAAAAGTGTTAATGGGAAGTTAATGAGACCGACTTATTTCTCTGTATTAATTTATTCATATGACTAAACATGACTCATTTTTCCGTTAAGTTTTGTCCAATTGTAAATAATGCAAATCTTTATGCTGTAATGTTTAACCCAATAAACAAATGCAACATGTCTCAGCTTTTGGAATCTCATTTTGGAAATCTAGAAGTTTAAAGCTGCACTATGTAGCTTTTCTGCTTGTCTCCATGGAGATGTTATTGCTGTGCTTTGAAAGAATCTCAATGTAGTCCAAGTTACAGGTCAGATCTGTGGAAAGGTGACCCTGTACACAGTTATAATACATGTGTTTTAAGGTAGTTTGTAGTTTTATTAATTGAATAAATGTAAGATTGGCAGTAAAACTATACACTGAGGAATATTCTAGGTATAGCCTTAAGTCAAGTAATATATATGGAGACAAGCAGCTGACAGACCCCCAGCAGAAAAGTTACATAGTGCATCTTTAAGTGAAATTTGTTACGAATCGGTATAATAAAAACGATACATTAAGAAAGTTTTTCACACTCCTACACTCTGAGGAGACAGAATGTAGCCACATCTGCCCTGGGACAGACTGAGTGATGTGATTTCCCCTCCTCTCCTCCTCCTCCCTCCTCTCCTCTATCCCCTCTTTGTTTCTCGTAAATCTTTTCTCTTTAAGCTGATTTGTTTGTTTTTATTTCTCGCTGTCATTTTAAGCTATTGTTTTTGTTTCCATGGAGACGGCAGTATGTGACTCATGACCATGATCCTCTCCGATCCTCACACAGAGCCAAGTGTTCAGAGAAGAGGTAGGTAGGTGATGGGTTATAAGAAAACTATAAACTGTAGTATTTATACAAGGCTGGGACTGCACCCATGAACAGGGAGCAGGTAGTGGTAACAGGATTTTTACTAGAAATGATCTTACCAATAAATTTTGGGTGGAGTCATACATAAAAAGACCTTGTTTGACCAGGTTAAACAACTTGGCTATTATCAATGTATATGTGTAGGAATGTTTGTATGAATAAAACATGTATTATGTGCAATACAATGGTTAAGATTTCTTTTAATCTTCAATGAAATAGAAGCCTGAGAAGCATGGGACCCAACTTCAGTGAAACATCACTAACATTGGCTGTGAGCTGGAGATATTTGTCACAGTGAGGGACTCTCCATCACTGAACCTCCTGCTCACCCACTGCACCAGAATATAGAGGGACCGAGGAGCTCATTCTCCAACATGCTCCTACAGCTCCACTCAAGCAGTGAGAGGTACAGGACTACATTCATACTATAATACTCCCTACGACTGTTAAACAACTCACCCTTATGTAACAGATAATACTCCCTGCAACTGCACAACAACTCACCCTTATGGAATAGATAATACTCCCTACAACTGCACAACATCTCACCCTTATGTAACAAATAATACTCCCTACAACGGTACAACATCCCACCCTTATGTAACAGATAATACTCTCTACAACTGTACAACTCACCATTATGTAACAGATAATACTCCCCACAACTGTGCAACAATTCACCTTTATGTAACAGATAATACTCCCTACAATTGTACAACGACTCACCCTTATGTAACAGATAATACTCCCTACAATTGTACAACGACTCACCCTTATGTAACAGATAATACTCCCTACAATTGTACAACGATTCACCCTTATGTAACAGATAATACTCCCTACAATTGTACAACGACTCACCCTTATGTAACAGATAATACTCCCTACAATTGTACAACGACTCACCCTTATGTAACAGATAATACTCCCTACAATTGTACAACGACTCACCCTTATGTAACAGATAACCCTATCTCCTGTCAGTCATCATCTTTTTAATCATCTTTTCTTTAGGACCTCTTGTATATAGCTGAGTATGTTTTTATCACTATATTTCCATATTTATTTTGACTTGTACATATAGATTTGTATAATTATGCCTTATTTGACACCAGTCTCTTGTTATTTTTTATTGCTACTTATTTCAAAGTTTTATTACCATTTTATATTTTTTACTCTTTGAATATATTGTGATGTGTGAACTACTGTGTCCAAGTAATTTCCCTTGTGGATCAATACAGTCTGTCTAACTTTATTAGGTGTTAGAATGCTTTCAGACAGTCTCAAAATGTCCGCCACATGCTTTTCCACAGCAGCACCAGAGACTTCTCTAGAGTTTTATACTGACTCATTTTACTGTAAACAACACCACAGTGTTCACATGGAAACAGGACACACCCTCTAAACCACAGGCTCCACACTTCCACTCCTACCACCGGAGAACAGCCACACCCAAAGCAGAGCCACAGCAGAGGTAAAAGGAACCACCCTGGACTATCCCTGGACTCTCCCGGGACTCTGCAGAAGAAAGCACCAAGTCTAGACCCAGGACCAAGGGGGTATGTTGACTGTTTTTAAAGTTATTACAAATCTGCTTTGCAACTGACTAGAATTTTTTTTTGAAAATCTGGAATACTTGTTTTTCTCTTCTAAAACAGCATAAATTAAGTTAAGACAGCATACGCTTAAGACCTGCAGACCTTGTTTAGATCTAGTTTAGTCCTGGTTTAGACCTGATCCTTCTTCCTGTCATTGCACCAATGACATTCTTATTTCCCTTGCACTCGATCACAAGAGCAGATGCCCACTCTGTGTGGCAGATGCCTTTCTTGTGTCTCAGCGGGGTCTTATTCTGTGTGAAAGCTGCCAACCCTGTAGTTTAGACTTTCACAAGCATGTTCTAAAAGCATGGGATTCTTGTATTAATTTTAAGTTCAGATTTATGTCGCTCTCTGGATGAATTAAAACTAAAATGTGCTGTAAACAAAGTGACTCAGAACCAAAACTCCTGAGTCTGAGTCATGTGACTAGTGTGGGCCCGTTATAATGACTATGGTTCACAGAAATGTTATGTAACTGAAGTCAATTAGTCAATAATTATTTCACATTGTTATGAAATTAAAAATATAATTATTTTCCACAGGAATGAGAAATGTCAAGATGTGCTCCTGCCCAGGTTTAGTCCAGGTTTGGTTTTGGTTTAGTCCTGATTTAGACCTTGTTCTGTCCTGGTTTACTCCAGTTCAGGTTTACCTGATTTGACCCTGATTTGGTCCAGGGTTGGTTCAGGTTTAGTCCAGATTTAGTCCATATTTAGTCCCTATTTTGATGTGACAATCTGGAGTAAGCATTTTCACTGGAGACAGAATTTATTTATTTTTTTTGGCAAAATCACAAATGTCAAATTTACCCTAGATGCCCCACCTCTCGCTTATCAGGGCTGGGGACTCAGAGCAATTTTGACCACTTTAAATCATTTTTACAACACAAGTCTTCACTACATACACTCATATTACAAATCTGCCTTTTATTTCCTCATTTTAAACTGGACTGACCTCTGACCTCCTTCCACCATTTTTGCCCTCCAGTTTTGACACGTCTATATAATTTTACTTCCTTGCTGAACATGGGCAGTACATGTAACATACTGTACAGGTAATTCCAGTTCTGTTACCTAGCAACCAGTGTTAACATGGGTCAAACTTGTCTAAATTACATATTAGTTTTGATTAGACTAATACAAAAATATATGATAACACCTTTATTTAGTTAAATGAAGGTTTAAACTGTCAGAAATATGCCTTCCTTGAGCGTAAAATGTCATAGGGAGGGATTCTGTTTCACATCTCTTCCTTCTTATTATAGATTTGTACTTTTCTTTTAAACTTTTATTTCCACAAAATGCCTCTTAAAACTATGTTAAACATTTTCCACATATATTTCCACTCCAAACTAAGTAAACAGAAATAAAAGATGAGCGTGTCACTTGAAGATTACAGCGTGAGTCATCAACTCTGGTTTGAGACATAAGAAAAAATAGTCTTTTGTTCAGCCCCTCCCTCCTGCTCCATTCACTTTAAATCAGACCTATTCTGCAAAATATTACATAATGATCCACGGGTTATAACTGTAGTGCAGACATAAGCACTATAGATACAGATATAGATAGACTATATACATGAAATTATTCTACAGGTCTGTGATTCCACAGCTAATCAAGATAAAATAAATATCAAAATATGTTATTTTCATAAAAGATTTGGCTTAAGATAAAGAAGTTGCTTCACAGAGGGAGAGGGCGTGTGTGATGCTTGTCAAAAATAGAAAGACTCCCGCGTTTTATTTACAGTGGAGCAACATTTCAGCCGCTACGCCCTCATCGGGCAAATGGTTTACAGTATGTGAGGCTGTGAAGCATCTTAAACAGGTGTGGTTAGAGAGTCTTTCTATATAAAAGATTTGACAAAAGTGAATGAAAGATGTTTTTTTTATTGGATCTCACAGCAAGATGGTCCCAGGTTCAAATCTCAAACCAAGGTGGATTTCCACTGATTTCCTCATAATCCTGAAACATGCAGAACTAGAAAAGCACTCAGAGAGCGCAGACCTCCGCCAAGGACTACCCCCATTTTTTATATAAATTGCGATAAAATCAGTCTTCTGGATCAGATTCGGATCAGCCTTTGGAATATGAAAGAGGATCCCATTGTCCATCCCTGAGTCAAATTTCATGGGGTTTGGTCAATAATTAACTGAGATATTGAGAAACAAAACTTTTGGCCTCATTTACCACAATGTTAACTAAAATTTCAAAGTGATCCAGAATCCAGGATTTCTTCCGGATCACCCCCAAAATGAAATCAGTTCTTCCTTTTCACATTTCCAACAAATCCTGAAAATTTCATCAAAATCGGTCCATAACTTTTTGAGTTATGTTGCTAACAGACAAACAAACAAACAAACAAACAGACAAACGCTGGCAAAAACATAACCTCCTTGGCGGAGGTAATAATCCTGACCGGGACTAGGCTCAGATCTGGATAAGAAGGTGCAGTGGATATCTCCTCACCTCACAGCAAAAATGTCCTGGATTCAACTCCGGGCAGCACAGGGCCTTTCTGTGTAAAGTTTGCATGTTCTCACTGTGTCTGAGTAGGTTCCCCCACCACTAAAAACATGCACAACAAGCTCCTCCCCTCTAGGGCCAGGACTCCCCTGAAAAATACTGTCTTAGTTACAGCGGGCTGTCTTAGTGAAATAAAGGTTACAGGTTAAACCCAGAGACATTGAAGCATGGGTGAAGTGCATGTTTAACCAGAGACACTGAAGCATGGGTCTTTAGATTAGAGCCAAAATGAATGCACATTAGTGGGTTGAGTGCCAAACATAGTGAGGTTGGCATATAAAAATCTTCATCTGCAAAGAATTCTTTACAGAGACACTTCTTACAGTGTCTCTATCTCTCCCTCTCCCTCTCTGTGCAAATACTAAACATAGTATGTGTCTCTGTTGTGTCTGAACTTGTCTCTTGTGTTTTTGTGTAGACCTGAAGTTTAAACCTCAGCAGCAACATGAACGTGAGTATCTACACATACACATTACTACTACTATTACTACTACTAAAGCTGCTACTACTACTGCTACTACTGCCACTACTGCCACTATTACTACTGCTACTACTACTTCAAATACTACTGCCTTTAATACTACTGCTATCTGATATTTGTCTCACTAAGTTCACATGATTTCTGGCGTAATCAGATTTATGAAATGTAAACAGTTTCCTCTGATGTGAGTGATCTGATTTCTCTGAGTGTTCACACCTGTACAGGTTTTGAAGGATAATTATGCAAAAAAGAGACAAACCAAACTATTATTTTAAAATGAATTGTCTTATTGGTTTCTTTTTGAAGACAATACCATAGGAGATGTATTTACATTGTTGTTTCGGGTGCTATCTTGTTTGAACATGTTTGGACAGTTCTGAAGATAGCTTACAGCTAATAGCCAAGAACAAGATCTATCTGGTACATCTCCAACTGTATTGTTATTAAAAAGAACCCAATAAGTTCATGTACAAAAAAAGACAAAATGAAAATTTTTGGATTGAAATGAATTGTGTTCCAAATACAACCGTTTAAACTGAATCTGTCTTTATATAAATACACTGGTTCCTAGTACTTTTTTTTTTTTGCATAAATAGTAGTATTTGCATGAACTCCTGTGCAGGGATAGTCTTGTGAGTACAGTCTGGTACAGATACACTGAAATACACTGAAAAGATATGCCTGTAGATGAGCTGGGACACAACATCAGAGATGTTTACTGATGATGTGTCCAAGCTCATCTACAGAACACTGTATCTGTATCTATGTGTCTCTGTATTTCTGTGTATCTGTGCCTCTGTGTATCAGCATCTCTGTGTATCTGTATCTCTGTGTATCTGTGTATCTGTATCTCTGTGTACCTGCACCTCTGTATCTCTGTGTATCTGTATCTCTGTGTATCTGTATCTCTGTGTACCTGCACCTCTGTATCTCTGTGTATCTGTATCTGTATCTCTATGTGTATCTGTATCTGCATCTCTGTATCTCTGTGTATCTGTATCTCTGTGTATCTGTATCTCTATGTATCTGTATCTCTGTGTATCTGTATCTCTATATCTCTGTGTATCTGTATCTCTGTGTACCTTTGGCGGTAGTAGCTCAGTTGGTAGAGCATTCGCCCACTGATCTAAAGGTTGGCGGTTCGAATCCAGCTCTCAACATAAACATCACAGGTTGAGCGGTCAGATCCACTGACCCACAGGTTGGCTGGTGTGATTCCAGCTCCCACAGATGAATGCTGTCATTGTGTCCTTGGGCAAGACACTTGCCCACAGTGTCTGTGTGTGAATGGGTGAGTGGTTCCTTGTTGTAAAGCGCTTTGAGTGCCTTGAAGGTGGAAAAGCGCTATAGAAAAATGTGACCATTTACCTGCACCTGTGTATCTGTACCTCCATGTATCTGACTCAGACTGCACTTGGATTCTTTTGATCCCTCAGCAGCAGACTGGACTTGGGTGGCTTGAATAAACCTGGTGTGGTTTGTTTGTTTTGAGGACAATTTTTCAAATTGTGAGTCGACCACACCTGAGAACATTCCTGAACGCTCTGTCAGAGAAAGCACCACGCCCTTCCTGTGCTGTATTCAGGGACTCCTCCAAACCAGTTCTACCTGAGACTGAGAACCACCTGGGTCCTAGATTAGACCAGGTTCATACCAGATTTAAACCAGGTTTAGACCTGGTTTAGACTGGGTTTAGACTGGGTTTATACCTGGATTAGTCTCTGGTTAGTACTGTGTGAGGCTTGGGTTAGATCTCCATCAGCTCAGAGCTGTTCCAGGTTAAAACTCAGGAGGTCAGGGCAGATGCAGAGGACACACTTGCAGATGGGACTGTGTGCTCTGGTCTAACGGCTCTGGCTCCAGACTTTTAAAGTTTAAACTTTTCATTGGTGTTGTGTTGACCGTGTTCCTTTTTAACCTCATGGACTTCCTGTCTTTGTGTGCAGCTTTCAGACGCTCTCGGTGACTGGCCCGGAGGTAACCAATCAGGAGGTGGCGGGGCATGGCCAGGACAGAACAACAACCCTACTTGGCCAGCAGGTACGTGTCAGTCTGCCCCAGGGCGGGTGTAGCTTCAGGGAGAGGAGGGACTAAAGAAGGCAGGGGGACCTCCTCTGGATCAGAACCTGGTATTGGTCAGGAGGATCTCAGAGGACTTTACTTGTAGCCAAAACTCTTTGTCAAAGTCTGATCTGGTCAGATCGTTTTTGCTAAGCAGGGATGATTCTGGCCAGAAAAGAAGTCATTGTGTCCTTAGGCAATACACTTCACCAACATTGCCTAGAATCAAATGGTGTGTGAGGGTCGGTGGTGGGAGGGGCAGATGTTGCAGATTTGCAGTCTGGCTTCCATCAGCCTGCCCCAGGGCAGCTGTGGCTACAATAGTATCTCACCACCACTGAGTGTTTGAGAAAATGACAAATACAGGAAACTGTAAAGCAACTGAGCATCTGGAAAAGCGCTGTCTGAGACTAATGCATGATTAATATTACTCACTGTATTTTTGTTTTCAGGTCAACCGACCAACCCCACCTGGCCGGGGGGTCAGCCCACTAACCCCACATGGCCTGGAGGCCCCTCTCAGCCCTCTGCTCCAGGGGGGTGGCCCTCTGCCCCATCACAGCCAGCTCAGCCCTCTGGCCCGGGGTGGCCCTCTGGTCCCTCTCAGCCCACCAACCCCTCTTGGCCCTCAGGTCCCTCTCAGCCCACCAACCCCTCTTGGCCCTCAGGTCCCTCTCAGCCCACCAACCCCTCCTGGCCCTCTGGTCCTGCTCCTGCTCCAGCCCCAAGTCCCAGTTTCCCTGTGGCTCCTCAGCAAAACCTGGTGAGATCCTCCACATTAAAGGGCCCATATTACGCTATTTAATTTTCTGATCTATGTTACGATGTTCTTTCCTCACCACAAACGTTCCTGGAGTTGTGTTTTTGTTTCATTCACAAATATCCTGCATATTTAGTTTTTCTCTCAAACAGAAAACACATGTTATGTGGTAATACAGGAAGTGTTTCAGTGCATACACCTTCACTAAAATCATTTGGATATTTTCAGCCCTGGAATTGCCGATCTCGACTGAACTAAAGTTAAAAAGTACCTATTAACTTGAAAAGTACACCTTCATGAGCACAAGGTAGAACAGAGCATTTGGAACTCTAGACAGAGTAATAGGGTTAAGCAAATTAAATGAATGAAACAAAACACAACTCCAGGGATGTTTTTGAGAAGGTAACAGCATTATAACATGACTTAACACCCATAAGAGTCATTTTTGTGTAATATTTAAGTCTCAATAAAATGTTCTGAATATTTCACATTACACTTGGACTGTTGGTTAGGAAAAACCTAAAGTCATGACTGAAGGAAATTAAAAACAGTAGCTGCTCCCAGTGACACTGTGAAGGCAGTTTGAGCTGAAGTTCATGCATTCTCATTTTTAACAAACAGACTAAAACCTGACAGGGCAGATGTCTGTGTAAAGGTTTATAATTTATTTATAATTTTATAAGAGGGGGTATAATGTAAAAACTACCTTTTCTTTTAGCTGACTATTATGCTATTGTTCCCTCATCAAAAAAATGCCTGAAGAGGTTTTAAATGTCATCCATGCATGTTGGAGTAATCTAGTGATCTCTCTCTTGCTCCATTTCAACCCTCCTTGGCTGTACAAGTTTGTACAAGGCTTCGCCCACAAACCTATGTTCCCACACCACAGTTCTCCATAAATATAGAAAAACATGACACAATACTATGCAACAACTTCACAAACCTGAAGCAATGTGGAGTAGTTTGATTAGCAGGATGCATGCTGATAGTTTTGTGCGTACTCACAGGGGGAGTGATTATGTATTGTCTTTTCAGTCAGTGCCGTTCCAAAAAGACTTTCCCTCTGGACTCTATGACAAAATGCTCATCACCATCGCAGGAACCGTCAAAAATAACCCCAACAAGTGAGTCAGATGCTCTCCCATTCTCCTGTGTGCCAGATGCCCTCCCAAACTCCTGCAGTTTTAGTAGTAAAAGTCATAGTAGTTGCATTACTAGTATTTGTAGTAGCATTAGTGGCACTGGCTGTAGATGCAGTATTTGTAGTCACAGTAGAATTAGTTGCAGCAATAGTTGAAGTAGTTGTGGTAATTCTTCAAAGTAGTAGTAGTAGTAGTAGTAGTAGTAGTAGCAGTAGCTGCAACAGTAGTATTAGCAGTGGTAGTAATTGTAGTAGTAGTAATAATAGTAGTAGTAGTAGTAACGTAGTGACAGTAACAGTAACAGCAGCAGTAATATATAATATAATATAATATAATAGTAGTAGTAGTAGTAGTAGTAGTTATACTGTAAAATACAAATATGTGTACTTTCAGGTTCATCATTGACTTTTACGCCGGCTCAGAACTGGTATTCCACTTTAACCCACGCTTTAACGAGAATGGGAGACAGGTGATCGTCAGGAACAGTGAGATCGGAAAGAAGTGGGGCAAAGAGGAAAGGGACCTGCCACACTTCCCCTTTAGATCTGGGCAGGGCTTTGAGGTAAGACCAGGACTGGGACTAAACCAGGACTAAACCAGGAGTAAACCAGAACTGATCCTGGGACTGAGCCAAGGACTGAACCAGGGCTGAACCAGGAGTAAACCAGGAGTAAACCAGGGACTAGACCAGGTCTAAACCAGGTCAAAATCAGGACTAATCCAAGATTAACCAGGCCGAAACCAGGGCTAAACCAGGACTTAACCAGTGACTAAGCCAGGTCTAAACTAGGACTAAAGCAGGACTAAGCCATGACTAAACCAGGTCTAAACTAGGACCAAACCAGGACTAAACCAGGTCTAAACTAGGACCAAACCAGGACTAAACCAGGACTAGGACTGAACCAGGGCTGAACCAGGGCTGAACCAGGGCTGAACCAGGGTTGGACCAGGGCTGAAACAGGGACTAAACCAGGACTAAACCAGGAACTAGACCAGGTCTAAACCAGGTCAAAATCAGAACTAATCCAGGACAAAACCAGGACTAAGCCATGACTAAACCAGGTCTAAACTAGGACCAAAACAAGACTAAGCCATGACTAAATCAGGACTAGACCCATTTGATGATCACATTTAAACACTTGTGTCTCTGGTTCAGATAAAGATCATGGTGACGAACCACAGTTTTAAAGTGGCTGTGAACGGCTCTCACCTCCTGGAGTTTAAACACAGATACAGCAACCTGCGCGCCATCAACCGTATGATGCTCTACCACGACGTCACGCTGTCCAAGTTCAACGTGGAGAACCTGCCATGAGCACCTTCCACACCTGAAACAGGATAAAACTTATATCCTGTTTCTCCTCATGATGCCATGAGGTAGAGCCCTCCTTCTCTAGTAAAGTTATAATCATAAAAATACCAGGGCCTTTATTAGTATTTTAATATATAGGAGCTTTAAATGTATTTGAACCAATGATATTTCATCTTGACATTTCTTATGATTAAATGTTATCCTTTATTTTTCTAAAGCTGAAAATCTTAAGACAAATACATTTCTATTGTTTACAATAAAGATATTTTGGACCAAACTTTCGTGTGTTAGTGAATTTGTAAATATGTAAAATAGACAAAGTATTACTGGTAATTTGACAGTTGTCCAGCAGAGAGAGCTGTTTCCTCGCTCACCTGACTCTTTGGACTTTGGATGCGCTGTTTCAAGGCTGGAATCATATACACGACTAGTCAAAAGTTTGGACAGACTTTAGTTATATTTCTTCTTAAATTCCATAATTACTATGTATATTATCACCAAGGCATCAAAACAGTGAATGGAATATAGCAAAATCAAACTGAAAATAATCAAAGTCAAAACGCATTACAGTGTAGTATTCATTCACTCCATCCTGGGCGGTGGTAAGCTACTATTGAAGCCATAGCTGCCCTGGAGCAGACTGAAGGAGGATGTCAATCTGCGTCATTGGCCCCTCCAACCACGACCAACACTCACGCACACACCACATTCATACAAGGCAATGTAAGTGAAGTGTCTAGAACACAACAAGTACAGATTTTGCCACTGCTGCCCCAGTGCCTGCTGCTGTATGTAAAGTGTAGAAAGTAATAAAGTTAAAAAAAAAAAAAAGCACTAAAAGCAAAGGTGTGTCCAAACTAAACGTTGTAGTCTAAAATATATGATTATATGCTTTAATCCTTTTGTTTTTACAGTATTTTTTTATATTTTCTGTCTTTTTCGTACGTGCCTCCTGCGTGTACGTTAACGTCATGACGCCTCCAGCTGGCCGTGCGTCACTTGTTTCTTTTCTCGGAGAGACGCGCCGCTGATCCTTGGAGCTCCGGGACTTTCGGCCTCTTTCTACCCCGAAAACAGCGCTCAAAGATCCGGGACCGAGCCTCGCTCCGGGAGCTGCAGCAAAACCGGGACCGGCTGGTTTGGTAGGTGTTACAGGGAAAACAGCGAGCTCCACGGTGGATTTCCTGGTTCAGGTGCGTTTGACCTGGGCCTCTGCTTCGCTGCGTCTGCGAGGAGTGAACGCCAACAGCAGCTTTAAAACAAGAAATATAACGTTGTTTTTACGTTTTACATATTTGTTAAAGTTTGGAGTTCTTATATTTGTGGTTATTGTTGCTGCTAAAGTGAATTTTGAAGATTGAATCGTGCAAAATGTCCATGTTTACAGTCACTCCGAAGGCCTAGCAAACTTTGCGACTTTTGCAGAAGTGAGTTTGTGGGCTTGGAGCCGGTTAAATGCGGGTTAAGAGCGTGTTTCTGCTGTGGATCGGATTAAATTCAGTGTGATCGGCGGCCCGGCGCTACTGGTTGGGTCCAGGCCGGGGCAGGAGCAGCTGTCAGCGGGATAGTGAGCAGCTGAGGCCAGGGAGAGCGAGAGCCTGGAGGTTAGCAGTGGTTTAGCCGTAGCTTCGGAATGCAGCCTGGCTCGGTCTGGCACGGGTCTGAAATACTCACTTGGGCTGTTTTTATCCTTCCTGTGCACGCACAGATTCCGTCAGAGACAAGGAACCTGCTAATAACATGCCACTAACTAACCTATAGCATAGGAACTATAGACTTGTAAGGGATAGCACAAAGTACATTGTAAATTTTATTTCACTTAATATCAGGAAAATACGGCTGTTTACAAACTCACACGACTCTTTAGAGTCCTGGTTTAGTGCTGGTCCTGCTCTGATTATATTATGACTCCTGGTTAAGTCCTGGTTCAGTACTTGGCTTAACCTCTCTTTTGGTCTTTGATTGGTGAAAGACCAATAATATTTGGTTTTGATTAGTTGTAGTCTTGGTATTATCAGGGTTTTCTCCCTTGTTGTTGTTTACCTATCTGTTTTATTCCTGGTTCAGTATTAACTATGGTCCTAGGTTTAATCCTGATTTTAGTCCTGGTTTAAGACCTGATTTAGACACTGGTTCAGACCTGGTTAAAATTTTTGTTATCATCCTAGTTTTGAATCATGTTTTTTGGCCATGGTTCAGTACTGCTCCAGTCTTGGTTTAGCTCTAGTTTTTAGACTTGGTTTTTGTTATGGCGTTAGAGTCAAATTCATTCAAATAAGACCATGAACTTTAGATAATCACTTTAACACAGACACAGATAAGAGTAGGAAGAGAGGTTACACCAGCACTCTTTAAAACACTAATCACATCAGGGTTAATTCAGATGCCCTCCCTGCCATTTACAGGTCACACGTTTGAAGTTTGAGGGAATTCTTTTCATCTGTCCAAAGACTAACACTAAAGTAGTCGGGAATGAACCAGGACTGAACCGGGACTGAACCAGGATTGAACCAGGACTGAACCAGATCTAAAGCAGCTCCAGCCCGGGACCGAACCAGGTCTAAACTAAGATGTTATTGTAGTAGGCCTAGTAATTTTCTCTTTGAAACCAGAGTAGTGTTGATTTGAGGGTTAGGGTGTGTCTGCAGCAAATCAAGAGGACAAAGAGATCAGGAGTCTAACCCACAACCTCCTGACTGAGAGGAGAGGCAAACCACTCTGCCACAGGGTTCATTACTCTTCTAGTGTGGAGTTCAACGAGGAAGTGTTGACACGGCAGCAACCAATCAGAATGCAGCTCTGGAGTCAGACCTCTGACATCAGGAGCAAGGGTCAGTCTAATAATTTTTATTTGAATATCTTTGCATTTTGAGCTGAAGTTAGACAATGTTTTGTTGGATTGAAATTAAACGGCACTCAAATTTCAAATTTGATTTTGATACTAAAGAATTAAAGACTCAAAACTCAATGTGGCCTTACATATGTGTAATCTCTTAGTGGTCCAGGTAGGTTCCATCTTTGTCCATGGTCCATATTAGTCTTTGTGGTCTTGTCCTTGTTCTGATACAGCTCAAGATCATCCTAAAGCTATTCATATTCAAGAGGCGTTTTTGTCCTGTGAGTGAGACTTTTTTAGTATCGATACCTGCTCAAATGAGTTTTGATACTAGTCTTAGTGGCGATTAGTACCTATACAGCTGTACAGTTCCATTGCACCAGAGGGTTGTGCTGAATGTTCCCTTTGCACATGTGCAGTTCGAGTAGTAATACCAAATGAGTCACACCTGTGACCCCTCTGTTCCCACAGAATCTTCTTGTGGAAAACAGAAGGCTCCTTTGAGTATATCTGGCGGTCATGCGGGATTCAAAAAACCGTGGTTACATACTCAACTTTTCTTTTACACTGACCTTAGTCTCTGCCAGTGTCCCACTGTGTACCATCATGAACCATAGTGACCTAGTGTAATGATATATTTTCACAGAGAGGAGCAGACATTTTAAACCATAATTTTGTCATTTTGCAGGGATCCTTCAAAGGGAAGAGCCTGAGGAATAGACTTCCCTTTTCTTTTCTTTTTTTTTTTTTACCTGTGTGGGCGGAGTCAAGGTGAGCCTCCGAAATGTGAAGCTGCCAATCAAATGGGACTAGCCTGAAGTGCAGCCAATCCACACCAGCGCTCTGAGGTGAGACTCTAGCATTGTTTATTATTGTTTATGCTCAGGTTTGTCACTTTGGTATTTTAATTTTCACAATATGGTATAATAAAACAGTCAAAAAAAAATCTTGAGTAGAATATGACTATTTTTATATTTTACTTTCAACATCTAAACTACATGTACTACAATACTTTTCTATAAAAGGGAGTATTTTGATATTTGCAGAGGGCATTCTACATCTTCTATTATCTAAATAACTGAAGCTTTTTATGATTAATTTTATGATTTCATAACTGAGAATTCAAATTGCTGTTGTTGTGATTTATTGTGCAACATTAAGCTGTATTACTTGTGACATGCTTCCAAAAATGAGTGCCTCCTTGTCGTTTAGTCCTGTTCTAACTCAAGTAGAACCTCGCTGTTTAAACCAGAGGCTCTTTAAGTTTATGTCACCGGGACTTTTCCTGGACTGAGTCTGGACTGAAGCTGCTCATGATTAAACTCAGCTTCAGTTACATAACAGAACCACAGCTGGACGTAAGATTTGGATCCAGACCAGGACTGAACCCGGTCCAGCTCTCATGATGTAATGATGATGTAATGATGATGTGATGTTTTTATGAATTTAAAGTGGTTTCATGTGAACTCACTTTTTACATGTTAAAGCAGACATATTGTGCTTGTGAACCCGATCTAGACCTGGTTTAGACCTGGTCTAAACCAACTCCAGACCAGACCTCTCTGTGTTTCAGATGCATTTGAAATCGTGCCCGAAGTTGTTGCGCTCGGAACTGCGCCTGGACCTGGGTCAGCAACAGGGGGCGCTGTTGAGGCGGGGACAGAGCCAGCGTGTCCCATTGGCCGCTCTGTCCACCAACACGCTCCGCTGCAGTCCTGCGAGGGGCGCTGTGCTGGGCGGGGCGGCACAGGCCAAGGGCTCAGAGAACGCCGTGTTCACAGAGGAAGAGGGCGGTGGGCTCGACGTTTGGAGTGTCATCAAACCAGGACATGTGAGAGAGAAGATTGCTCTGTTTGCTCACGACACGCCCAGCCAGAGAAATGTAAGTTACATGGGGATATGAGGGGATGACATCTGGCGCACAGGGAGGGCATCTGATACACTGGGAGGACATTTTGTTAGTAACAAGGTGTTTTCGCCTGCTATGTTTCTCCAACCACACCAGAACATCTGTAGATTAACTAGAAACATTTGACGTGCTTCCATCTCAGACTAACACTACAGGGATGCAGGAGGATGGGAGGGTATCTGACTCAATAGTAAACACTCTCTTCCACAGGCCAAAGGGAGCTGGGATGTCACTGCCAAACGCCGCAGAAGAACCAGCCAAATCCAACCAGCTCAAGTCTTCCAGTCTCCCCAGCCTTCAGTGACTCTGAACCTGCAGCCTGCTGCCCGGGACCCCACCCTGGACCCACCCCTGGACCCACCCCTGGACCCACCCCTGGACCCCCCCTCTGGACCCCCCTCTGGACCCTCCTCTGGACCCCCTCTCTGGCACTCCTCTCTCCCCTCTCCCCCCCTGACCCCTCTGACCCTTGCGAAGATGACTCCAAACTATCTGTGGTGGAAATGGTTGCGTTTTTGGAGCAGCGTGTTATCACCTGCTCGCCACACGCCAAACTCCGAAGTTCCGCCTCTATCACGCTTTCCCGAGCCCCACCCCCTTCTTCTGTCACCACCGACCCTCAACCTGCTCCCCCCTCGGACCGGCCAATCATGTTGCAGCAGGGGGAGGAGCCGGAGAGCGTCAGTGTTTCCGATATGGTTGCTAAACTGGAGTCTCAGTGTTTGCGACGAAGGACTCAAAGTGAACGCCGAACGGTTGGACGTGTTCTCCTAGCCGAGCAAAACCATGCTTCCCTTGCCAACATGCAGCCAATCAGCTCCTCCAAACCATTCAAAGTCACACCCGCAGCCTCCACGGCCACAGAGATAAGAAAGGCGGCTGTTAGCTTTTGTAAATCAGACGTAAAAGTCAAAGTTACTTCATCTTTTTCTACTGATTCAAAGGAGGTTATTAAGACTGCCACAAAAACCACCCCTACTTTGTCTGAACGTAGTGACGCCATTGGACGAGGCAGAGTAGAATCCCCACCCTCCTGTCACTCAAAACCTTCCCAGCTTTGTAAACCGGACAAAAACTCACAAGTCAAACTGAACACAATGCAAAAATGTGAAACTCAGAAATCAGTGAACACGGGGGACATTTTGAGACCTACTGTACGATCTGAGGTGGTATCGGCTAATATGATCAAAATGGAGGATGTTATTTGTGTTAAAGATGTGACTAAACCTGATCCTAAGCCTGATGATGCATTAAAAACAGTAGGAGTGTCCTGTGTAAAGTTAAAAAATACACCTTCGTCTGAGTTTAAAACTGAAAAATCACTAAACAGTTCCAACATGGAGGAGCCAGTGCCTGGTTTACTGTTCCTAACCCCTCCCTCTAAAGTCTGTTTCCAATCAGAGCAGAGAAAACCCCTCAGTCCCACCTCCTTGTCCTCAAACTTAAATACTGATTCGTTCCTGGTTCTGTCCACGTCTGAGCTTGCTGTTCAGTCAGAGCAGAGGAAAGTGGAGCGGCATCACAGCTGCTCCAACTCTGATTCTTTCATGGTTTTGTCTCTGGATCTCACAGGCCCATCGCAAATGAGGACACAATGCTCCTTCTCATTAAGTCCTGCCTCCTCCTCAGACCAATCAGAAAAGAGGAAACGTCTGTGCTCTCAGAGTCCTGCCTCCACTTGTGACTCCAGTCCATTCAGAACGCTCCAATCCAGCTCTAGGGATCTCACTGCTCAATCAGAGAAGAGGAAAGCCAAGTCAGACTCTAACCTGTCACGCAGCTCACTTGATTTAGTCATCCAATCAGAAACAAAAAAACCCAGCAGAGTCCAATCAGAAAAGAGCTGTCTAACAGTTACAAAGGCTTCAATTGATCAAACTGACCAGTTACAAAACAGCAGCGGTCTCTTCAGTGAATCAGAGAAGAGAAAGTCCTGCCCTGTCACCACCTCAGAGTTCAATGTCCAGTCAGAAGCCAGGATTGAACTTTTACCCCTTGAGAGCCAATTGCAGCGCAGAAGGCTTAACCGTATCGCCCAATCAGAGAAGAGGAAGTCTTGCCCTGTGATGGTTTCTGATTGGTCAAACACTCTGGACCTTGGCCAATCACAGACACTGAAAGCCCCATCAGACTTTGCCTTAGACACAAGCCAAACAGAGCAGAGGAGGTCCTTCCTGGCCTCTTCCTCTGACCAATCAGAGGCTCGTCCCTGTGGCTCTGTGCTGCGCTCCTCTTCTGATGTGGGCTATGAGCGCCGACGCCGCAGGAAGGCAGCGAGAGCCTTCAGCTTGTGCTCAGCCGAGGGGGCAGGGCAATACAGTGAAGGACGTGTCTCAGAGGACTTTCTGTTGATGCGGCGCCGCGTACAGAGCCTTTTGGAGCCGCGATCAAACCTGTCATACCTGTCCCTATTGCCACACCACCTGCTCCTGCAGATTCTGCTGCACCTGCCGACCCGTGCCCTGGCAGCGCTCAAATGCACCTGTCACTACCTGCGGCTCGTCATTGACACGTATGACCCGCGACCAATGGACGCCCTCTGGGTGTGCGACCCCCGTTACCGAGACGACCCCTGTAAACAGTGTAAACGTCGTCACCAGCGTGGCGACGTGTCTCTGTGCCGCTGGCATCACAAACCCTTCTGCCAGGCCATGCCCTATGGCCCTGGGTACTGGATGTGCTGCCATGGTGACCGCCGTGATGCTCCAGGATGCAATGTCGGTCTCCATGACAACAGATGGGTGCCCGCCTTCCACAGCATCAATGCCCCGATCTACCGCCAGAGGCCGCGGGAGGAGGATGAGACGTAAAAGTGTAAAAGTATAAGGACAATATCTCTGTAAGCTAAATATACAAACAATACACACAGAGGAGCTGAGAACTACTAACACTACAATATGCAATATGTTTAATACGCCCAGACAGAGAGGATGAGCGGACTGTACACAAGAACTGTAACGTGCTGATCTACAGGCAGGGGGCACTGCAGAGCAGGAGGCTAACACTACAGTATGCTAACGCTACAGTATGTTGTATTTTTGACACGCCAAAAACAGAGACAAAAGCTACCAACATTACAGCTTGTCTGTATCACAGTGTGATCCAGATACTTGGAAATCATGGACTGGAACCATCACTGTCTCAAACACACAAAGAAGGAGAGGAGCAGGAGAAGAGGAGAGCTGACAGAAACCATTTTATCATAACCATGAATGGACAGAGGCAGAGAGGAGGGAGAGAGACTACTAATACTCCCTAATGTGCATCAGTGCATCTTCAAACCAGAAGAGGAAATCACAGAACAGTATAATCTAATTCAAGATTTTATATTTAAATTTTCAAACTCAAAAGTCAAAATGGGAGACCAAAGAGTTGTTAGACAGAGCTTAAATATAGTGTTTCTGATATTAGCCAATCAGAAAGGAAAATACCCAATGTCCTGCCTCTAAGCCTGCTTCTTGCCCAATCAGAATACTTATTTTGCACAGTAGTGATGGACTAGAACGCATTTACTAGAGCGTTCTAGAGACGAATGGCTCCTTATGCACCGATTGGGCAGGTAGCACAAAGGGACCGCAAAAGCAGAAGGGATATTAGGTTACATTTTAGGTGATATACTATATTAAAAGCATGTTTATTAGTAAGTCTTGGTGTATTCTAAGATCCAGAACCGGATTTTTAAAAATAAAGTTACACAGCGAAATCCTGGGCCCACATTTGTGATTGTTGGAAGTCACAAAATGGCCACTGTTTCTCTGACGACACAGATCTGGCAGCGACAGTTTAATGTATCTACTCTAGTAAGTTTTTGCAGATATTTTTAAATGTTTAGAGTCTCAGTCAAGACTCTTTACGCAATGATTCTACCAACAGAAAACCCCTCATTAAAATTTTTAATGAAGACAGAGAAGAATTATACAAGTTCAAATGAACACAAATGTCTGCATAAAAAGAATAATTACTTATCTAATTTAATATTTATAACATTTTAACTTAAACAGGGGCTATTGTGCAAAATAGATTTTTTTTTTTGGGGGGGGGCAGGGTCTTTCCTCATCAGAAACATGCGTGAAGAGATCTTTAGATGTCTTCCATGCACGTTTGAGTATTTAGCGGTCTGTCCTGTGCCCTATTCAAACCATCCTTATGGTTAGCAAATTGAGCCTGTACAAGACTCCGTCCCCAAGTCTACATCATCCATGCTCCCGCACAATAATTTTCAGAAATATACAACATCATGATACAAATCGATACACTACAACTTGACAACCCTGATGCGATGTACGGTAGTTTCGTTATGGGGATGTTGTTTTACAACATTGGGATTTAAAATGTCCAAATTATAGCATAATTTGTGTCAAAATCAAGTGCTACATAGTAGATTATACGATATAGCAGACACATGCATAATATGTCCCATTTTAAATTAGCTGTTCTGGAATTTCCTCCTTTGGTTCAGCTTGGCTCTGTCTCGGTCTATTCTAGACTCAAAATCTTCCAGAAACCTTTGAATCCAGAAGTTTGGGTTAATAAAATAACTAATAAGACTCAGACTGTTATGGAGAATGCAATATTATAATTTATATGGTTGTTTGTGTTAAAGTCACATGAAGCTTTAGAACAAGCCTGATTGGTCGATGTCCGGGCGGGTGATATGACTATTAAAAACAAGTAAATTCCCTGTAGTTGAACCTGAGCTGTGTAACTGTCAGATTGCAGATATGTTGACCTGGTTTATGGTTAATATCTCTGTAATAATTGGGCCTACCCACATGAAACAAAAACTGACACAAAGGCAGTATGAATAAACTAAAGTGACTTTTTTTTTTTCACACTAGCTTCAGACAGTGGTATCATTATTCAACTCCAAGGACATGATTGCTGTCATCTGAAAGGACTTTAAGCCAATCCCAGACAAATAATGAGAAGGGTCACATTTGGGAATCATAAGATTTCTTGAGTCTTCCATAGAGTTATAAAGACCCTTGCTCTACTTGATATGATGTCACATTTAGTCATATTGCTCGGCCCTGGTGCTTCCTTTCCTTTAACTCCTATGTCGTGACTTCAGTGTGTGGGGGCTTGGCCTATTTGTTTGTGTGCGTGGCTCTGTTTGTTTGGGGCGTGGCTCTGCACCTTGTTTGTGTTTACATTTGTACAGAAATGAGAGTTTATATTAATGTCAAAGGGATTCTGTCTCGTCCAATCAGAAGCTGCGGGATAATCACATGACTTTGTTAAATTTTATTATTGTTTTTGCTGTTTTTGTGGGAGTGGCCTTTGAGACGATGCAATATGTGAGAAAATATATGAGAAAATGAGGCGTGTTTTTTAAGTTTGGGAGATTCTGCTTTAATAAAGTGCTTTTCTTTGACTCTGTCCATTTGACTTCATCATTTCTGTGACTGTTTTTTAAATTCAGCTGAAGGATTGAATCAGGCCTCAACTAAACCAGGACTGAAATAGGGACTGAACAGCAACTAAACCAGGACTAAACCAATACTAAACTGGCTGAACTGGGTGGGACTGAACCCTAGCCCAGACCTGAAGATGTAATGAGGGTGCCAACAGTTTTATTCAAATAAAAATGCAGTTACTTCAAAATTATATATATATAAATAATATAAGATACGATACTCAAGTAGAAGTACAATGTAGTGGTTAAAGAAATTATTTGGGAAAAGTATTAACTTAAACATCTGATTGGTCTGTACTATCACTTTATACTCAAGACAAATGTAATACCCCCCCCCCCCTTTTTTTTTTTTTTTTTTTAAGAAGGAATGATAAAAATCCGTGTTAGCAATGAGGGAGGGGAGGGAAACTCAAGTTTTGCTGCAGCAACAATATTTACCTGCACTGCTCTTCTCAGTTGCCTTTGAGCCTCAGTCAAAGGTCTCCGTGCAGTTTAACCAGAGGGCAGGTAGGGGCAGCAGATCTGTGTCACGGCAGTTTGAGGAGAGGAAGAGCCAAGCGAGTTCGTCCTCTGTGTACTTACTGCATCACAGCAGCCTCCAGGGGGAGCCAGGTGAACAGAACAGGAAAGGTTTCCTTCTACCACTCTCGTGTTTTAGCTGATGATGAAACGGTTCATTCCTTCAAATTATTTCCACTGAAGATCTTCTGCCACATTTGCTGCCACAAATGGTGTAAAAAAAAAAAAAAAAAAAACTTCTCAAATGTCCATCTCAGATGTCCATAACTAGCTCCTTAGCTAGCCTTTGCATGGTTTCCATGGATACGGGAAAAAACAGTTCATTTCACACAGTCCAACAGTCTCTTACGTGTGTCCTTTGGACTGCACATGCTTCCCTTCTCATAATTAACATTATGTGATGTTAAAAACTGAGCTCAAAAAACAAAAAGTTTCAAAAACTGCTTAGTGTGTGAGCCAGGCAAACACAATTAACGCGTATGTAATCTTAGCTGTATACCAGAATTTGATAATATTTTTAATAATTTAAGAAACATTTTCATCGAAATGTATGTTAAAGGAATGTTGTATGTGGGATGTTCACTTTGGCGACTACCCACTTCTGCCTTCAAATCAAGTGTTTTCTTCTTTTAAATAAATTTTTATAAATGCATTTACGTTTGTTTCTTCAAATTTCTTTTCACATTCGTAGTTTATAGTCATTATTTAAATCTAATAAAAGTAAAGATAGAAAATAAAAAAAGAGTTGTGTTGATTTATGTGTTGATTTATTTTGTCTTTTAATTTGAAATCCGCTTGTCTCGTCTCCTGCGCGGTTGTTTCCGTTCTCCATAGTTCTCTCAAAAAACATCAAAAAACGAAGATAAACGGCTTTGTCTGTCATTTTTGAGCTGTCATCTTTTTGTAACTCAACTTGTTTTTATCTGAAATCAGCGGGTAAATATTTATCATAAAACAAGCATTAGTTTTGCTTGTAAAAGTTTAGTTGCTGTTAGCTCGAGCCGGTTAGCTGTTTGCCTCGGGTCACTGTTAGCGTTTAGCCTTGTTTACATTCAGTGCTTTCCCTATTGTGCTTATTTCACAAATTTTAATGCAGTTTTGGTAAACAAATATATATTTGTAAAGGTTTTCTAACGCAGCACGTCTTAACTCACGAATGAGCACAGACTTTGAGCTGTCTCAAAGTTTGTGTCTTGTGTTTGGAAACTGGGACTTGTTTTGTAATTCTCCAACTTTGAGACTGAAATAGTTTTAGTGCTCATCCACCATCTCAGAGGTACTCTTACTTGAGAAAAAGTTGTGGTTCCTCTTCCCACAGTCTACAAGTGACAATATGAAATAATTTGAACATTTGTATTTCTTGCACTTCTCCTTCAAATATGATTTCATCATCATTTTGTTTTTTTGGTTACATGCTTCTTGTCCAGGACTAAACCAGGTCTAAATTTTCTCTCTGTTTTTAGGATGCCCTCCTTTCTTCTTTCCTGATACCGGTCTCTTCTTCCACTGCAGTGATGTCAGCCTCGGAGCGCCTTTTGCTGCCAGAGGAGGTACTGCAGCTGAGCGACCCTCTCGGAGCAGAGGCTGTGTTCTCGTGGTTAAACCGACTGAAGAACCAACTGCCCCTCACTGACAAGGTATGGTGAATACACAACAAGCAAGCACAGCAAGGAGGGTCTCTCATTGTTCAAACCTGGTTTAGTCCTGGTTTAGTCTTGGTTTACCTATGTCATCACAGAAAACTCCAAAATGTAGAGACAATTTTTCCCACAAGGAAGGGATTTTTCTAGCAGTAGGAACCTTCATTTAAAGCCAGGGTATTATGCAAAATTGTTTTTTGGAGTTTTGGAATTTTTGATGCCAGAACATTATAACGTGATTGAAATCTCAAAAAAACAAACAAAGCCTCTTTAATGTGTTTGTTTATTTTAGGCAGAGATCAAAAAGATTCAGCGGCGCCTCGTGGACCAGCTTTCAAGTGTTCTGATCGGCTCACCTGGGCCTCCTGTTCGGGTCCTATTGGCCCATTGCCTGGCCTTGTTATTCCACCTAGGAGACCCCTTACCCTGCAGCCTATTAGTCGAAAAGTGCAACGACATCATCCGCAACAAAGATGACTCCCCCTCTGCCCTCCCCTCCCGCCTGTTAGTAAATGTGCCAGATGCACAGATCCCTTCATGGGGTCTGTGTAAACACTGCTAACCCTCTAGTTTAGACTATACAAACATATTGTGAAATGAATGAAATTCTTAGTTTTGTAGTTCAGATTTCTGTCTTGTCTCTTTCAGTGCGGCGGTGGCTTGTCTGGGCTCTTTGTTTGAACAATTGGGTCGAATGCTCAATGGATCCTCAAAAGACACATTTACAAATCTACTACGGGCGCTGAAGAATGCAGAGGTAAGTCAGAGCAAAGTCAGGGGAGCAGAGGAGAGGGTATGTGTAGCAGAGGAGAGGAGCAATGGACAGGGTCAGCGGAGCAGAGGAGGGGTCAGTGGAGCATATGAGAGGGTCAGAGTAATCGAGGAGAGGATCAGAGGAGCAAATGACAGGATCAGAGGAGCTGAGGAGCGGAACAGAGGATTCACTGCTGTCTTCAGTCTCAAGGCCGATGTGAGATCCTGGCCTCTTTGGAGAAGATGCTTCGTGGTTTGGGGCCCTCAGCAGCCCCTGTTCACAGAGATATCTACAAATCTGCACGCACCTGTCTCACAGACCGCTCCATGTGTGTACGCTGTGCTGCTGCCAAGGTAACACCTTACCTGTTCCTCACCTGTACATGTGTGGACAGAGACACTTCAACTCTCTGTTTGTGCTGTAGTGTCTGCTGGAGCTCCAGAAGGAGGCACTGTTCCTGTCCTCAGAGCTGGAGCACATGTCCACAGCTTGTTTTCGAGCGTTTGATGGAGCCTCATCTTCGGTCTGTGTCTCTGTCTCAGAGCTGTTGGGCACTCTGCTGGCTACTGCACTACAGCCCAAGAACAAAACAGGTACTCATACTTAAGGCTGTAGGCCGTTGATTAATCGGTCCATAGACTCTTGGAACAAAATTTGCATTTGTCAATGAATTAAATCTGATTTTCAACACTTTTGACAACCCCACATTATATACTTGAGATATATCAGTCTGGATTTACTTGACAAAGAATTACTAATGACAACTATGACCTGTCCTCTCACCTGTCCCCTCAGCTCAGAGAGTGCCTGGAGTGCCCCCTGGAGGAGGAGCTGTGTCTCTGGAGGAGGTGATGGACCTGCTGCTTGGGGGCTTCATCAGAGGAGGAGCAGGCTTCCTCAGAGTGTCTGGAGACAAGCTCAAAGGAACCAGCTCTGTCAGCAAAGAAGTCCGCTTCGGCATCGCTCAGGTGAGAAGAGACAACAGGTACAGACAGATGAGGAGAAAAGACAGGTGAGACTAAAGACATGAAATAAGAGAAACTGTCTAGTCTTGGTTTTGTCTTTACCCTCCTTAAAACCTATAATAGTCCTGGTCTAACCCTCTCTATTTCAGACCTTTATAGTCCTGTTTGAGTCCTGGCCTAACCCTCTTTCAGACATGTTTAGTGCATGTCTAGTTCTGGTCTAGTCATGGTCTACACCTCTCTTTCACATCTGTGTAGTCCTGGTTTAGTCCTGGTTCAGTCTTTGTTTAATCCTGGTCTAGTCCTGTCTGGTACTGGTCTAACCCTCTCTGTCTTTCAGACCTGTGTGGTCCTGGTCTCGTCTCTGGGCTCCATGTGGTTGGAGCAGAACCTCTCTCAGTTCTTGGCTTTGGTGCTGGAGCTCGTGTCCCACTCGCGGAGCTCTCTGTCCCCCAGTGACTCTGTGCTGTGTCGGGGGTGTGTGTCTCTGGTGCTCAGAGCCAGTCTGGGGGGGGTCCTGGGGGAGAAGGCCCAGAGCAACGCAGTGCAACATCTATGTGGGACTGTGGGGGCACACAAGAGAGCCATAGGTGAGTAATCATATTTCCTGGTATAGTCCTGGTATAGTCCTGCTGTAGTCCTGGTGTAGTCCTGGTGTAGTCCTGGTGTAATCCTGGTGTAATCCTGGTGTAATCCTGGTGTAGTCCTGGTGTAGTCCTGGTGTAGTCCTGGTGTAGGCTTGGTGTAGTCTTGTTGTAGGCTTGGTGTAGTCCTAGTGTAATCCTAGTGTAATCCTAGTGTAGTCCTGTTTCTGTCCTGGTCGTAGTCTTTGTTGTTTTTTTGTAGTTTAGTCTGTGACTTCACAACAATTAAAGACACTGTACCAGATTTTTACAGTCTTAAAACAGTTCTGTTCTGTAATTACTGAGCATATCCACAGAAAACAAACATAAAATATCATATATATTCAACATTTGAAATTATGACAATCAAAGCAGAATATAGGAGTTTGTATTAATGTAATTCAATTTCTTATTCCTGTGTTAGCCTTTATCCCTGTATTCTTTATTTTGTTGTAGACTCCTCCTTCTCTGACGCAGCAGCAGATCCCAGAGCCTCCTCAGACCTGTCCTCCTTACAGCACGCTCTCATCTGTGTCCTACTGGAGCTGGGAGCCCTTCTCCTGGGGTTAGGCTCCTCTGCTGAGCCTCTGCTGTCTGACCCCTCCACAGGTAAGGAGCTCACCTGTCTGCTACTGTCTGCTCCTCTGGCTCTTCTCTTCTGGCTCTACTTCTCTCATATTTCTCCTTTTTTTTCTAAGCTCTTGTAGACTCTGTGATAGCGGTCTTACTCCACCCCTCTGCTGCCGTGAGACTGGCCGGTTCTTGGTGTTTACGCTGCGTGGCCGTGGCGATACCATCCCAGAATGCACTGCTGCTGGACCGCTGTGCAGAGAGGCTAACAGTGCTTAAGTCCAGTCCAGAGGCACTGTCTGGATTTGGGTCTGCGGTCTGTGCCCTCGTCTCAGCTGCCCAACATCACAACCTGGGTCTGCCCCACAGCAAAGGAAAGGTGAGACTTGGTTCAGTCCTGGTTCAGTCCTGGTTTAGACCTGGTTCAGTCCTGGTTTATTCCAGGTTTAGACCTGAATAACACCTGGTTCAGTCCAGGGTTAGTCCAGGTTTATTCCTGGTTCATTCCTGCTTTAGTCCCTGGTTCAGTCCCAATTCAGCCCTGGTTCAGTCCTGATTGAGCCGTGGTTTAGTCTTGGTTTAGACATATTTTAGACCTGGTTCAGTCCTGGTTTACACCTGTTTCTCCTTTCTTTTAGATGGTCTTGTCTCTGGCTGAGGGCCTGTTGCGTTCTGCGTCTCAGAACAGTCGCATCTCCTTACAGAGGACTCAGGTGGGCTGGATGCTCCTGGCCTCTCTCACCACTTTAGGTTTGTCTTTTTTGTCTATTTAATTTTTAAAGTAAATAAATTTTTAATCTGAATCTGAATGATCTGTTGAAGCTTCAGATTGTGTTCATGTCACAGGACAACATTCTAAAATTCCCTATTGCTCCTAAACTATGCATTCTTTGTGGTGGTTAAGCAGAATCCTATTCATTTTGATGAATTTGAGATTTTTTTTTGCAGTAATCACCTTTAAAAAAAAAAAAAAAAAAAAATATATATATATATATATATATATATGTATGTATATATATATGTGTGTGTGTGTGTATATATATATGTATGTATGTATGTATGTATGTATGTGTGTGTGTATATATATATATATATATATATATATATATATATATATATATATATATATGTAGATATATAGTATATATATATATATATGTAGATATTAGGGGTGTCAAATTATCGCGTTAATTGCGATTAATTAATTACAGTCATATTTAGCGCGGTATGTTTTTTAATCGCGTTAATCTCATTTTTAATCTCTAACTTTACTGTTTCTGTATGCGAGTTGCTTTATTATAAAATCTGTTTTTATGTGTTGTTGGGACAACAACACAAACAAAAAAAACACATAACTTTTTTTAATTTCGGTAATTCCACTCATTGCTGGAAACCCACACAAACGCGCGCAGTAAGAGCGATGTAAACGTCATGTTCACGCTGGCGGCGTCAGTCGCACAATGGACGAGGTCGAAGAGCCAGTAGAACAGAGTCAGCAGTGCACAGGTAAAAACACATTCGTGTCTTGGAAATTATTCTCCCGACGTGAAATATAAAGGAAAATAACAAATATAAAATCGCCTACAACTTAAATGTCACTGGTGAAAACAACCTGCATAGGCTCATGATGTCTGCACTACTGTCCTATAGTGACCTGCCACATGAGGGGACACGCACACAAACACACACAAACACACACACAAACACACACCTTCATCATCATCATTAACCTGAGAACGCGCGGACCACGTTTCTTTCCGTAGTTACTGGACACGACGTGCTCCCGTGCGCCGTGTACATTTTCTTGCGTACGCTGCGTAAACCGCGCTTCCTCCTGTGAGCCTCTAAACCAGAACGAACACCAAGACTAAAACCGGGACTAACCCAGTCCAGGACTAAACCAGGACTAAACCAGAACTAAAACCAGAACTAAAATCAGGTCTAAACCAGGTCTAAACCAGGTCTAAACCAGGACTAAACCAGAACTAACACCAGGACTAAAACCAGGACTAACTCATTCCAGGACTAAACTAGGACTAAAGTAGGACTAAAGCAGGTCTAAACCAGGACTAAAACAAGGACTAAAACCAGTGATCTCATATATAAAGCATTTCTCTATTAATAATATTTTTAATATGGTTAAGGAAAGACTGGACTTTTTATTGTCTTTAAGTAGACAAAAGTTATTATGTTCAGATTTCCTCGTCTTTGCTACTTTACAGCAAACAGTTTCTTATTCATGGAGACTTGGGCTCAACAGCCAATTTGGAGAGATTTGTTAAACAATAAATGACTTTATAAAGTCACTTTTTTTTTTTGTTCTATATCAGTCTTTTGATCTGCCACAATAATGTAATAATGAATTTAAATGAAAATACCTCAAATTGAAGGCTTTTCTCAGCAATTTTTAGGTGAGATTAAAAAGAGATTAATTAGATTAATTAATTACAGATCATAATTAATTAATCTCTCCATTTTTTTTATCGCATGACAGCACTAATATATATATATATATATATATATATATATATATATATATATAAAGTGTCTGTCTTCAACTGTACCTTTTGTTTCAGGTCCGTCAGTAGTGGAGGTTTTCCTGTCTCGTCTCCTCCTCCTCTGTCGCTGTGTGTTTCCAGCCTCATTAAGGGAGCAGGATATGGAGCTGCGGCGTGGGGACTACTTTACGTGGCAGGTTACGCTGGAGGGACGCTCAGGGGCACTCTGTGGTGTGTACAATCCCATGTAGATTTTCAGTAGACACTACCTCCCTCCTCTCTCCCTCTCCTCCTGCACTGAACTTATACACACCAGTCAAAAGTTTGGACACATCCCAAGTTTTTCTTTTTTTTTTTACTACTTTCTACATTTTATATAAATATGGAAGACATCAAATATATAATGCAGGATTTTTGAAGCAAAAAAGAAAATTTATTGACTCAACTAAATATTTTTATACTCGGTGACAAAAGCAAAGGGTGTACATTTACTTTTTTTTTTTATTTAAGGTGTTTATTATTGTAAGGTTTTAGCTTTATATATACACACACACACACACACACACACACATATAATATTTTAGTTTTGATGTCTTCAGTGAGAATCTACAGTGTAAATAATCATGGAACTTAAACACATTTATCCAAACGTTTGAGCGGTAGTAGTAATATGATGTTTTTGTCTTCAGTTCTTAGGAGCCTCCTGGTGCACTGTAAGGAGCTGATGTCTGAGGACACTCTGTCTCGACTCCTCACTCCGCTCATCTGTGCCACCTCCATGCTCAACAAGTATAACTCAGTTTTTAATATCATTTTATGTGAATATCACAGTCGAACTTTGTAACTTTCTTCCTCCCTCCCTCCCGCATTCTCCTCCTCTCATCTCCTCCCCTCCTTCACTCTTTCTCCTCTCTCTCACTCTTTCTATCTCTCTATATCTCTATCTCTCCTCTCCCTCCTCTCTCTCCTCAGACTGGGCTCTCTGCTGCGTTCTTACGGCTCGTCCATTCGTCCTTTCACAGTTGTGTACAGACTCAGAGTCTATGAGCTCCTTGCTGAGCTGCCCCCGCACACGTATCAAGGTAAAACCAATATAATTTTTTAATGCCTGACGCAGGTTTATAGAATGCTAAAACTGCAGGAGCAGAAAAAACCATAACATGCCTTATTTACTGTTCATTCTTTCCCACAGAAAGCTTTGGTCTTGTGATGAACCAGCTGGTGTCAGACCTCTGCTTTCCAGACCAGTCCTGCTCAGAATTAACCCTGATGCCCTCCCTCTGCTTCTCTGACGACCTTTGTCTGATCAGTCCGGGTCTTAATGACCCCCACCAAACATTTATACATCAGGTACTGCTACTGCCATTTCTATTCCTATTACTGCTACTGATACTACTATTAAACCGGGACTGAACTGGGACTAAACCGGGACTAAACCGGGACTAAACCGGGACTAAACCGGGACTGAACTCGGGACTGAACTGGGACTGAACTGGGACTGAACTGGGACTGAACTGGGACTGAACTGAACGGAACTGAACCATGACTGAACCCCCTCATGTCTTCTTGTCTCTGTCCCAGCTCCAAAGCAGCAGTGGTTCAGGGGGCGCTCTGGAGAATGACCCCTTCTGCCTCACTCTTAAATCGGATACTCCTCCGGCTCCTCTCCCCTCCGCTCTGGCTCTGATGGAGGTTACTGTGCGTCTGTTTGGAAACCTGTTCCCCAACATCATTTCCGCTCAGAGGTAATGTTGTAATGACACTAAACTCAATTTAACTAAGGAACAGACTTAATACTCAATACAGATTATGATACTATGGTAATAATAACACAAGTTTTGTGAGTAAATATATTTTTCTGTTTGTTTTAGGGTGAAGATCTTAGAGCAGTTTGTGGACTCTGTGAATCAGCTCAAAGGACAAAAACAGCAGACCGTCCAGACCCATGTGTGTGCTGCCCTCTGCAGTGTGCTCAAGGTACTGCTCTCCCTCATGTTTCCTAATAACTCTCACACCTCAAACACATCAAACCTTTACGCAAAGGTTTTCTTCTGACAAAATCCAAAATCTTGACAGTACAAATGATATTTTTTTAATCGGAATTCCAAATATGAAAATGTGCTCCAGATTAGGTACTATAAGTCTTAATGAGTTTCATTTGGATCCAAACGCTGTGGGTGATGTCACACTCCCTCAGAACACTTCTATTATACAGCCTATTATAGAGCTCTTATCTACGCCTATGGATCTGCCTCTCCTCCTGTCTCTCCTCAGGTTCACTCCCGCTCTCCTCTGGGCCCCTCGGAACTGCGGCCTCCTGCTCTGTCTCTCCTATGGGGGGCGCTAGAGAGCTCCTCCCCTTTGCTCAGGTGTGCAGCTGCCGAAGGACTTGCCCGATTAGTCCAGAGCGCCAATGACTCCGCCTTCACTGTGTCCGCTGCCCTCCTCTGCTTCGACAGGTAACACCCACAGACAGGTGATCTGACCAGGATCTTGGTTCATATCTAGAGAAGGGTCCCTCATGATACGAGTACAAAAAACATTTTTTCCCCATTCTGATGGAAAAAAAAATCCTACAATGATTTGTATCTGTCCATAGGTGTCACATGTCAACAGACGTACCATAAAGAGGCGGAAATTAGACTTGTTTTGTTAAATTTTAGATCCATGATGTGATTTAAAATGTCCAAATTCAACATAATGTTCCATGGGTGTCATAAATTGTAACTACTGTATAACAGACACAAGCTCTATGATGGTCATTTGACCGTGATCAGCACACATGGGCTTTCTTGACATTATATTTAATTTATATTTTAGACTGAAGATGTCTCGGGATGCGGCCTCTCGCTGTGGTGTATCTTTGGCACTGGGGTCGTTGTACCGATATCAGGGCGGGATCAGCTCAACTCAACATCTTTGCAGCTGTGTGGGTGTCCTGTTTACACTGAGCCAAGATACTACATGCCCTGAAGTACAGGTGAGAAGGAGGAGGAGAGAGGGGAGAAGAGAGGGAGAGGAGAAGAGGGGGAGGGAAGGAGAAGGGAGGGAAGAAGAGGGGATGGAGGGTAGGGGAAATGAGAGGGTCAAATGGAGCAGAGGATCAGATCTGACCTGTTCCTGTGTCTCTCTCCAGGCCTGGGCTCTCCACAGCCTCTCCTTGATCATGGACTTCTCTGGAGGCTTGTTCCGTGTTCACTTGGAGCCGTCTGTGTCTCTGGTCCTGAGGCTGCTTCTGTCGTCTCCTCAGACCCACCCTGAGGTGCACCTGAGCCTGGGCAGGTGTCTCCAAGCACTCATCACCTGCCTGGGACCCGACCTGCAGGGTACGGCTCTGTCTGTCCTCTGCATTATTGTAGTGTAAATGTTTCTTAGGGACAGCCTTTCTGTAGAATGCTTTCTCCTTTTGTTTATACACTGCACGCGTGGGTTTGTGTTGTTTCCTACAGAGGACAGTGTCAGGTCTCTTAGACTCAGGAGGTTTCTGGGCAGAGGTGATGTTAGACTGGTCACTTTGGCTCAGAATGTTTGAAAATTATGACCATTATTAATAACCTGCACATTGGAGACAGAATTAACCAATCCGCTGTATTTCTGACACACAAACACACACAAGTAATCTTTACGCTGTGCAGCATTTTAACTGTAGCTAAAACCAGACAAACACATCATAGAGCATCACAGTGGGTCCTACTTTCTTCTCATATGCTGACATCAGCTCTGATGCCTGGTCCTTGAGTATCATGATACTGTATATGTTTTACAGAGGACAGCTGTGCATCCCTCAGAGACAGCATCTCTCTGGGATCTCTGGTTCTTCAGAGCTCTTCAGACCTGTTGGTTCAGTCCAGGTCCATCTCGTGTTTGCAGCAGCTCCACATGTTCTGTCCTGCTCACGTGGACCTCAGACAGTTGGTGCCCACTCTCTGTGTGAGTATCAGCTACACATTATATTCCACATACAGCGTATAATGTCTCTGTGCCTGATTTTTACAGTCTTAAAAAGGTGAAAAACAGAACTAGAAAATGAAGACCGCATGAATTGGAGAAATCACAATGCAATAACCAAGTGCGAGCAGAGCTGGTTCTCAAAAAATGTAAACTATTTTTTGAGAAATTGGTAACCTGTCATATGCATCTTAATTTAAACCTGCCTAGAGCCCATTATAATCTGTATTAATCCAACATTATTCAAGTCATGTGTCATTGTGTGTTTCAGGGCATTTTGTTGGACAGTTCTCAGGTGGTAGGTTTCTTTGTAAAGACTTTGACACTTGTGTTTAGTTTTAATTTGCTCTCATGTGCTTTGTGCTTTTATTTTGAAGGTCTAACCCACTAATACTATGGGCTGTTTGACCTGTTTCTGCTTTTATTCTGAAATGTACTAACTCTTCTTCAGGCTTCCTTTAAAGGTTGTATGGAGGATTTTTTTTGTTTCAAATTGTCAATGATAGCATTATAGAGATGCAGTAGCCTTATTATGATGACCAAAAAAAAGGAGAATAAAAATTAATCAACTCTGGACGTGGTGGGGCCAGCTAAACATTTGCCAATAGATAACGACACTGCCTCGTTATCTGTTAGCTGACAGGCTGTCAATCAATCTCCCTACGTTTCTAGCGTAACTGACTTGCCTGCGCGCCGCCGGTACGTGGTTTACGTACACCTGTCACGCAGTCCACAGACGCAAGCCGCACAGACGCTGTTTACTCCACCAACGCAACAGTTCTTAGCAGCTTTTTTTGACCTATATCTTCTTCGCAGTTCGCACAAAGTTTGTTGCAATGGCAGACAAGAATCCAGGAGCAGTTAGCTGCAAAAGAAAGTCTGTTTTTGAGGTCGCTGAAAGAATAAGACAAGGGGAAACAGCGAAGCCAAACTAAGGTGATTCTTGAAGATTCATTCCAGCGATGGCGCAACTGAAGCAGACGCAGGGTCTAAAGACTGACGCATTGGTCGCCAAATTACTCCTGGACAGGTCATTTCTGCTTACGTACTTTATTTCCAAGAGCTAGTCAAACGTTTTTCAGGACACGAAAGCGATATCCTATGTCTGAAAACGTAATTTTCAAGGCAAAGAAAGAGTCCGCTTGCTGCTGTGTGTTGAAGCTAGTTCATTCGCACTGAATCTCCGTGCACCCTTCTCTGCACCCCTTTCCTGCTCCTCTCCCCGCTGCCCGATCCGCTCTTCCCCCTCCTCCTCACTTCTCCGGGCATGGAATCTCCGCACACCGCTCCCCTCTCCTCTCTCCTCTCCTCTCTCCCCGCTCCGCTCTTCTCCCTGCTCCTCACTTCTCGTCCGCGCACGAAATGGCCGCGCCCCCCCTCCCTCCGCTCCTCACTTCTCCACCTTGCCTAACCAACACTGTAGTTAGTTGTTTACAAGTCATGTGCAGCGCACTGGCTGTAAAACAAACCTGTTTCTGGCGTAAGGAGGAGGCGGGAGGAGGCGTTTCTACGTAGGGAGCTGTAGGGGAGGGGGGGGTGGTTTCACGCATGCGCAACATTTGAAAAAGGACAAACAGTCGCTGGATTTCTCGTTCCTTGGAAAATCCTCTATACAACCTTTAATGTGTTTTTGGATGAGTTGTGGCTGAGCAGTTTTCTCAGTCAGCATGGGAGGTTTTATTTTATTATGGCTGATTTCTAGTTTCCTCTCGAATAGCTTCATCTGTCCAGTTCCTGGTTTGGTTTCTCTGCAGTATAAATATACATATATAATGTCTGAAGTGTATGTTTGTATTCTCAGGTGAGTTTGAGCCATTGGAGCCTGCTGCTGCGCCGTGCTGTCGTCTCGTGTCTGAGACAGATCGTTCAGAGAGACTCTCTGGAGGTCTCTCAACTCGCCGTGAGTTTGGCAAAAGAGCAGGCGCCCAAAGAGGCCTCCCCCCTGGGTAAGAGTGCAGGTCTAGACCTGGAGTCGGCCTGGTTTAGTCCTGGTTTAGACCTGGTTTAGACCTGGTTTAGACCTGGTTTAGACCTGGTTTAGACCTGGAATATAGGCCTGAATTAGACATATTATTAGATTCTGGTTTATTCTTGCTTTAGTCCTGCTTTATTCCTAGTTTATTCCTGGTTTAGTCCTGCTTTACCCCTGTGTGTGTTTCAGAATGCACACTGCGTGAGCTGGGCCTAGAAGGCGCTCTCTTCTCTCTGTTGGACCGTGAAACTGATCCTGGTCTAGTCCAGGATTTGGACCAAACTCTGGGGTTTATGATGGTCTCCAGTCTGAACAGCAGCAGAGTGGGACAATGGCTCAGGCTGTGCAGGGACGTGCTCTCTGCTACTACAGGTAATACTACTACTACTGCTGCAACAGGTGATACTATTAATATTACTACTGCTAATACTATAATTACTACTACTACTACCACTTAGTGCTGGTAAGATACGTATGTAACCACAGCTGCTCTGGTGGAAGTGAGGCTGTCAGTCTTACATAGTTATATACATTAACCCACCACATTCATACTAGCTGACGTGGGTAAAGTGTCTTGCCCAAGGGCACACCAACAGAACTTTGTTCAAGTGGGAATCAATCATCTGACTTTCAGGTTTGTATATGAGTGTTTGCTGACATAAGACTTCTACCATTATTGCTAATATATGTAACACTAGAAGTGCTACTACCACTACTACTGTACTATACACTATATACTACTACTATTATAGTGGTCTACTATTAGTGTACTACTAAGGTAGACCAGCAGTCTCCTGGTCCTACTGGCACTATTATATCTGACCCCTCTTTCCTTCTCTCTCTCTACCTCTTTCTCTCTCTCAGACCTGAGCGGGCCCCAGGACTCACTCGAGGAGGAGGAGGAGAGAGAGGACTGGAGTTCTCTTGGAGCTCGCTCAGAAACAGTTTCTCCCTTCAGCACCCTCCGCTGGTCCACACGCCGCATCGCAGTCGAGTCAGTCTGCACTGTGATCCAGACCTGTGCCAAGAATGAGACCACAGGTAGACCCAGTTTAGACCTGGTTCAGTCCTTGTTCAGTCCCGGTTCAGTCCCGGTCTAATCCTGGTCTCTGGTTTCAGACTTGCTGGTTCCTCGCCTAGGAGACCTGGTGCGTATGGCGTTCATGGCTTCCACAGATCATAGCGCCCCCCTTAGGCTATCGGGGTTACAGACACTGTTGGAGATCATCAGAAGCTTCAGCTCCATCGAAGAGCCAGAGTTCCCCGGGCACTTCCTCCTCGAGCAGTACCAGGCCAATGTAAGCTAACATCTGCAGACCGGGCAGAGACCAGGCTTAGACCTGGCTTGGAACTGACTTAGACCTGGTTATTTTCTAAACTATTGGTTATTTGTTGCAGGTGGGAGCTGCTCTGAGGCCGGCCTTTACACCTGAGGCCCCGCCAGACGTCACAGCTAAAGCCTGTCAGGTACAGACCTCCTAAATATGTTTATTATAAATCAAAGTATAATATAAACAGATACAGTGTTACTGCTAAAGCCATAGGTACAGATGTTCCAGATACTGGGAGGGTAATCATTTCTCAGTTGAGCTTTGCGAGTTCAGATGGGCATGATTGACAGATGGATTAGCCAATCAGGGACACGTAAGGTCCAAAACAAATATGGCTGTATGAGGAAAAAAGAAAGGACAAAATATCACATGGGACTGAAAAGCATGGTGGATTTCTGCAGAAGCTGTCACCTCTCAATTTGTAATGTAATTTTATGTGAAAATCATATGCCCAATGAGCTCCTTCATTTCACAAGTGTCACTGAAATAAACAAATCTGATTGGATGATTGTGGTTCTGGCTTGAGACACAGCAGAGAGGGTGGAGACCAGACTTCAGAAATTAAATGAACAAAGGTTTTAGTTAGGGATGGGCATGATTAGTCGATTAATCGATAATTGATCATTAAGAATTTCATCGATTACGTTCATTTTAATCGACAAACCGGCAAAAGGTACCGAAGTGCATATGCGTATTTAACGATGACTTGTACAAGAAATTCCACACTTTCCTTTCTGGTCGGGACAAGAGGGAGGCCATGTGCACAGTGTACAAAGCAGCACATGTTTCTGTGTCCAGTGGGAAAAATCTTTACCAGGTGAGAGAAGCGCAATGTCGATGACGAGTCCCCACCTCCCTCCCCCCGTACGGTGTCCTGGTTTTGACAAACGCAAATATGGTCACACTAACCTGTATTCCATTGAGTCATGTCTTTTAATCCGACAGAAGTTGACCGCATCAGCGCACAAGAACTGTATTTTTTATTTTTGCTTAGTTTATGCAAATTAGCAATGCGGTTTTAAGTTTTGTTTCTGTGAGAGTTGCGCAAAACTGAATTAAACACATTATAATGTCAAACGGGCTGATGTGGCTAGAGTGGTTACAGTTTATTTGTCGTAAAGTTGAATTTATTTATGTAGATTAGGAGTGCAGATAGTAATAATAATGATGATCATTTTAATATAAAAACGTTAATGATTAATCGATAATCGATCGTTAATTCTCTCGACGATCGATTAAGAAAATTTCATCGAATGCCCATCCCTAGTTTTAGTAATTATCATAGTGTTGATTCACAAAACCTTTGCACAGGATGTGATAGTGCTCACAGCTGCTGTCTTCCTCATAGTTGTGTTTAATCTCAGGTGTGCAGTGCGTGGATCTGCAGTGGAGTGGTCAGTGACCTCAAAGACCTCAGACGAGTCCATCAGCTTCTGGTCTCTTCTCTGTCCAAGATCCAAACAGGACCGGAATCCAACTTGCAACTCTACAACGAGGCCGCCGCTACTATGGAGACTCTCGCCGTGCTCAAGGCCTGGGCCCAAGTTAGTCTAGACCTGGTTTAGACCTGTTTTAGTCCTGGTTTAGTTCTGATTTAGCGCTGTTTTAGTCCTAGTTTAGATCTTGTTTATTAATTTAAACTTGTCTTTTCGCAGGTTTACATTGTGGCAGTGCAGCAAAACAGGGCGAGCTCCGATTGGTCGACAGACTTTACATCCTCTTCAGCCAATGATGTCACAGCTCTTGAGTCTGAAGGGGCGGGACTTCTGGGGCTGGTCCAATCAGATCTGCCGACTCTGAGCCGCCTGTGGCTCTCGGCGCTTCAGGATCATGCCACGCTTAGTCAGCCCCCAGAGCAGCCCGTCACAGGTGAGAAGTGAACTGTTGAGTCCAGGTTTAACTCAAAGTGAGTATGACAGGTTTCGATGATTCTCAAATTTAGACTTAATCTGGTCAGATAATACCTGTTAAATAATGTTAAATAAAAACAATTACAGAAGAAAAGTAGAAAAAAATACTGAAAGTAGAGTGTTCTATTTTAGAGGGTTCAGTATTGATGACATCACACTGGGGTAATTTAATCCAAACGTTTTGAACAATTTCAACTATTTAACAAAAATAAAGGTGTTTTCTTGTCATTTTTTGTCAGATATTAATTTCTGTTTATACACAGAATGTTTGGCCCTGTGTACAAGGTGTAAACAGTAAATAAAAAATAAAAGCCTCACAGAAAGTCATAATTATGAGTTTAAAACTCATAATTATGACTTTTCATCTCATAATTAGGAATTTTCGAAGTTGACTCTGAACCTGCTCTTGCCATGCAAGCACATGGGCTGGTGCGACCATTTTACCATAGAAGCCATGTATGAACCCGCGACAAGTAAAAATGAGTAGTTATTTTACTAATTCACTTCACACTGTATCTAAATTATTTACTATGTGCCCATATTTTCATTACTGACCAACCCGAAGTAGCCTGTGCTAAGTGCCCAGCAAAGCTCATCAGTTCCCGGCCAGGGCCCGGAGAATGGGTGAACCGCAGAGCCAGAGGTGCTTCATTCCCTGTTTGGACTAAACCATACCATGGACAGATTAACATAGATGGACACTTTGCACCTACACATTCATCTCTCTCTTTCTTGTCTTTTTTACAACATTTATAAGTTAATGAGTAAATGGAGCTATGTTAAGATGTCCTGAGCACCTGGAGGATGGCCTCTCCAGGAAAATGGCCGTGTGCTTCCATGACAAGGGCAGATTCAGAGTCAACTTTAAAACTCGTAATTATGACTTTTAAACTCATAATTAAGACTTTCTGTGAGGCTTTAATTTTTTTTTTGCTGGCAGAAATGGGCTTCCATAACTTTAAACTAACAAAAATTAGAAATTTAAATGAATGTAGATTTTCTGTTGGATATGGATTTAATTATGAATACATTGATTTAAGAGCTGCATTGGTTACTGTCCCCCATCCAAAATAAGTGAGACATTTTAACAAAACCTATTTTATTCCACTTTTTGGTCTCTCCCAGGAGGTTCGTTCTTCTCCTCAGAGACGATGCACCAGGCTCGCGTTCACTTCTGCTCCTCCTGGGCCCCTATCCTCCACGCCTCCGCGCTCTGGCTGCACTCCACCGGTCTGAGCACAACTGATCTACTTTACACAGCCTTCACTTTTAAACAGCTTTACATGTGATAGTCCTGGTTTACTCCTGGTTCTGAACTGGTTTAGTCCTTATTCAGTCTTTGTGTAGTTCTGGTTCTGAAATGGTTTAACCCTGGTTCAGCCCAGATTTAGTCCTGGTTCAGTCTTGATTTAGTCCTTTTAACCAGCTTTTAATAATACAGTTTCTTCATCAACTACATACCTGCAGTTAGTATATAGTAATGATCAGTTGAATGTTTTTAAGTGTAGATCATGTGACTGTCTCAGGTTTGGCAACCTCAGAGGACACACCTGTGCACCTGTCCCGCCCAGCCACGCCCACCTCTTTAGGTCACTCGGGGGGAGGAGCCAAAAGCCCAGAGGATGTGAGCGAGGAGAGACTGCACCTAATCTTGGGTGAGACTTGATTTTAAATCTATTATTATTATTATTATTAGCATTAGCATTAGCATTATTATGCTTAATAAGACTCTTTAATTAAGGCTCCTGTCTGCAGGTGTGGCGGTGCAGTTCCTGTGCTCTCCTCACTCTCAGAACCAGATGGAGAACATTCTGTCGTGTCTCAAGGCTCTTCAGGTTCTTCTGGACATCCCCTGGCCCCGGAACCGCATCAGCAATGACCAGGTCTGTGCACTGGGGGGGCAGTATGGCGTGTTCATTCCTGGTTCAGTCCTAGTTTAGTCTTGATTTTGTCTGGGTTCAGTTCTGCTTCAGTTCTGGTCCAGTTCTGGTTCAGCTGTGGTCCACTTCTGGTTTAGTCTTGGTTAAGTCCTGGTCTAGTCCTAGTTTAACCCTGTTTCAATCTCTGTTTTTTCCTGGTCTAGTCCTGGTTCTAACCTAGTTCTCCTCTGTTCCAGTCCCTGTCTGTGGAGCTTCTGTCTGTTCTGCACAGGCTGATGGTGACCCGAGAGTCTGAGGAGGTGCAGAGTTCAGTTATGGATTTACTCAAACGGATCGTGTGCTCTGCTCAAGAGCACGTCCGCGAGAAACGCCACTCTGCAGAAGGTAAATGTCACGCGATCACCTAGAGAAAAACAGGACTAGGTATCCTCTACTTAAGATATGTGTGTTGGCTTGCAAGATTATTCTCTAACTCACTTAGATGCCCTCCCTGTGTCTCCATGCAGTCATATGCTTTGTAGAAGCTGCTAACCCTGTAGTTTGAACCTCTACAAACATGTTCTGAAATACATGGAATTCTTGTATTATTTTAGCAGTTTCATTTCAGTTCTCTGTTTTTACAAACTTGAATGACTGACTTTTAGACATGTGAGAATAATTTATTCAAACTACGAAATATCTTGTGGGGCCTTATACTATATAAAACCTGCTGTATATAAAATACTATATAAAACTGAAGTTTAGACCTCTACAGACATTCATGGGATTCTTGGGTGAATTTAAAGTTCATATTTCAGTCTCTCTCAGATGTGAATGCTTCTGAATCTAAAATTAAAGTCACAAAACTATCTGCATGTTTAATCCTTGTTAAATAAAATAAAATCTTTTGTTTGTTCCAGTGGACGATGGTGCCTCAGAGAAGGAAACTCTCCCTGTGTTTGGAGAGGGCAGAGACACTGGAGGTCTGGTCCCAGGACAGTCTCTTGTTTTCTCTGCTCTTCAGATGTGTCTGTGTGTGCTGGTCCGAAAACTGCCCCAACTCAGTCCAAGGCTATCCGGGACCAAGACCGGGACTAAGGCCAGGTCTACAGGTGAGTCTGGGCCTGGGCTCAGCCTTTTGCTTCCATACAAACCTCAAAGCTACTCTGAAATTGAACCACTTGCCCCATACAGAGGACAAATGCCAAAATTGATTTTTGTGAACTAGCAAATATCACAAGAATCTGGATTTGTAGACTTTGTAAATTGCCATATTTGCTTTGCTCACACTTAATGATGACCCTGGCAATGTTCTGGGACTGGAACCTGTGTGAATGAGGGTCACTGCCAGGTTACTGGGATCTGTGTGTGCATGAGGCTTTACTCTTTCCCCCATGAAGACGACATTTGACGACCCCCCTGAACCCTTAATGACGTCTTTTGACACCTCCGCTGTATCACTAAAGACGTGATTTGACGACCATTAGAAACGGCTCGGTTTTTCACATGTAAACAGAGACTGATCGGTGGGGGCCACTACAACCCACACTAGGCTGACCAATAGGTTTTTCCGAAGTTAATCGAAGTAGTGACGATGGTAGCTTACGGAAAAAACACAACACGAAACACGTGTAATGGAAAGATTGCGGCACTGCGGCGCACAGTTTTAGAAATAATGAGTTTAGAGAAAGTGACTTTTATAGATTTCAAAGTGATGATGTTGAAGTTGATTATAAAGTGGGAAACAGCGACAGTGACGGACTTTCGGGGAGTGAAACTTATGAAGGTGAGAATGCAGCTGATGTGTCTGTGTGGAGCCCTGCGATATCCGAACAAACTATCTGAGCTTTATACTCGATTATGAACCAAAAATGCCCTGAAATCTGGATGTTGCCCAGGCTAGTCCTTTAAAATATTTCAGTCTTTTTTTCCAAGATACAATGTATGACAGAATCGCTACAGAAAAAACGCTTATGCGGAGCTCTGTGCACGAGAAAGTGACCAAGATGACAAATACTGAACACCCACTGACAGGAAAGAGTTTTATTATTATATTATTATATTATAATAAGCTGAATTAATTGAATAAGCTAAATGAGTTAAATAAATTAAATAAGTTGAATAAGCTAAATGAGTTGAATAAGTTAAATGGAAAAAATGAATTAGGTCCACAGAGGTGTACAACAGGTAAAACCAGGTGCACACTTGGCTATACTGTATCTGGTGATATGAAATCTGTTTAAATACTTTGACAAAGTATATTTTTTATTTTTTTATGACTATAGTACTCAGAACATGCATATATCAGATGCTGAATGTAGTTTTTTGTTTTCGATTTTGCACCTGACCAGGTAAACTCTCATTGTCAGTGAGCTGTTATAAACCTGTAAATGAGTTGAATCACATTTAAACATCCATAAATGAATAGTTCAGAGTCTAAGGTTTCCAGAGATACCAAATATGTCTGTGTTACAATTAAGTTCATGAGTGTAAAAATCATTTATAATCGCTCGTGGAAGTCTGTTTTCTTTTATGCAGTTATGCTCTATGGGTAGCCCTAGTCATATATGTATGGGATGTTCCTAGTAGGTGTCCAGGGGGGAAAGAGTTAAGAGACTGGAGCAGATCTGTGGAAGCATGCTTCGTACAGTAGGATCAGATTATCCATATGCTAAAGGACATTCATTTATATTATGCTTCATTCATATATTATTATCATACTGTGTGTATATTTGCAGGAGTGAGTGAGGTGTGGAGTCTCTCACACTCAGACTGTACCCTGGTCTCCTCTGCTCTGTTTGTCCTCTCTGAGCTGCCGTCCCTCTGCTCCCCTGAAGGTCAGACTCATACACCGCTCTCATTGGTTGTCTCTGGTCTTTTCTCTTCTTCTGTAAATGGTTGATTTTTGTCCCACAGGAAGTGTTTCAATCCTGCCCACAGTCTTGTACCTGCTGCTGGGAGTGCTCCGAGAACTTGTGCACCGGCCCTGCTCGCTTACAGGTGAAAACACTTGCCACCTGACTTATGAAACTTACACCTTACTACCTGATATTACACCCTGTGAGCCAATTTACAGAAATTTTTGCCACATTTTGGACCCACTGTATTATGTAAAACAGATTCAGTTCTTTTCACAGCTCCTGTCACACCTGCACCATCTGTTCAGACATCTTAACCAAACTTCTCATCATTGTACTGCAGTTTCAATGTTTGAATGTAGAGGAGCATGTTTCAAATAAAATGATGTCTGTGCATAACCTCGAAAATATATTTGTTGTCTAGATCCTGTCTCTGGTCCAGGCTCTGGTCATCCTGGTCTGATTCAGTCCTGTCTTCAGTCTCTCAGAGCAGTTCTGTTGAGTCCGATGAGTAGACAAGAGAAAAGTCGAGAATCCTGGGTCCAACTTCTGCAGTCGGCCCTGAGCTCTCTGCTGCTGCTCTGGGAATGTGGTAATATAAATACTACTGCTATTGCAATGTTGCCAGTGACCGGAGGATGGGAGGGCATCTTACACATCTTTTGTTTGTAGATGATCCGGAGCTGGAGGTGGACCAGGGGGCTCTCCTCAGAGCTTTAGCTCAGTTTCTGGTCTCCTCCTCTGGATCAGATGTCTGTGGTGTGCCCCCTCTGTGTTCCCTCAGTCTGGACAAGTTCACCTGTGCCATGGACTCCAAGGACCCACAGGTAACAGAGACTGCTTTAGTCCTGGTTTAGTCCCCAATCAGATGCTAGTTTAGAGCTGATTCAGTCAGATTAGTTTAATATTTTTTCATGGTTGAGTCCCAGTTTACACCTGGATTCAGATTTGGTTTAGACCTTGTTCAGTCTTGGGTTTGTCGATAGTTTGATCCTAGTTAGTTTTTAGATTTTTATTATCCTTCTAAGTCTAAATCAGGGGTGCTCACACTTTTTCAGCATGCGAGCCACTTACAAAATGACCAAATGTCAAAATGTCAAAATGATCTACCTAATACAAAGTCAAGCAAACTGCACTGCACTGAAACACTCTGTGCCTGGTCTAAATGTTAGAAGTTTTTGTTAATAGTTTTTCCATAGATTTGTATTTGTATCATTGCTATCATTGAAAAAGTGAATTGTACATATCTTGATCAATGATAAGAAAACGAAATGCAAATGTTTTTAACACTGGGGAAAAGGGGTGTGAACAGGGAAGTTTATACTTCCACCCACTCCTTTTCAAACATGTATATATTCCTTGCATCCTGTATAAGGATTATGAATGCTGACTATTGCTTGGTTTTGCTTATGTTTGTTATGTCTTGATACAGTTTTTTTCTATTCATGTTTGAAATAAGCAACAGCCATAGCTCTTATACTCCTAATGGACATTAAACACCTGTCCCCCTGTGTCCCTGTCTCTGTGTCTAGGTGCAGTCTGTGTGCTTCCAGCTGCTCAGCTCCCTGTTCCAGACTCCAGCTCCGGTCTCTGGACTGTACATCCGGGCTTTGGGCCCAGCTCTGGTCCGGTTCCTCAAGGTAAAGTACTCACCTGAGACTCAAACCACTGCCCCTCATGTACAGCTGCTTGATTTAAAAAATCTTTGGCTTTTCAAATTTAATTTAACACTCAAAATTTACCACACCTCCTTTTTTATTAGTAGTGTTTTCTGACAGTTTAGTTTAAATAGGACTGCTCTTTAGCAAAATTGACTTGACATGTATTTTTTTTATCCTTGTCTTGTGTGTTTTGTCCTGTCTTATATGTTTTTGCCGCTGGTCTTGCATTTTTTTTTACCCCTGATCTTGTTTCTTTCAGAAAGTGGAGCGCTGTCGGCCTCAGACTCTAGAGGAGCTCGGGTCAGTTCTGGAGGCTGTGAGAGCCATGGAGACTCTGGTCCAGGCAGCAGAACCACAGCACAGTGAGAACCAGGACTTAAACCTGGACTGAGCCATGGACTAAAGCAGGGACCAAACTGGGGACTAAACAAGGGGCTGAACCGGGACTAGAGCGGGACTAGAGCGGGACTAGACTAGAGCGGGACTAGAGCGGGACTATAGCGGGGGCTGAGTCAAGGGTTGAACCATGACCGAACCAGTAGTAAATTAGGTCTAAACTGGGACTAAACCTGTTCTCTCTGTTCCAGGGTCTCAGTTGGTGTCTCTGCTGTTGCCGCTGCTTGTCTCATTCCTATTGGATGAGAATGCACTTAGCTCCGCCCCACCAGCCTCCCGCTCGTTGCATGACTCTGCGCTGAAGGACCTGATGAGGATCGGACCCCAGCACCCTGTGGTTTTCAGGTCAGACTCTACACCTGTGACACTTAAGGACACCTGTAAGAAAAAGGGTTTCTCTCAGTGGGACATGACCAGTTTAAGAATTATACTGTGACTGTTTTTGAAGATATGAAACAATATAAAGTATGTGTGAAAATGTGTAAAATATCTAAAAAGAACAAATATCAGATTGGAGAGACTCACTTTTAATGGAACTTTAAGCTTAAAGGTGCAGTGTGTAACTTCTGGTGGAAGGTCCGTCATATGCTTTTCTCTATGGAGATGTTATTGCTTTGTCTGGAATGTTTCACAGTATGGTTTTAAACCTTTCTATCTCCATGGAGACCAACCAGACCAAGTTACAGGCCAGATCTGAGGGAGGGAACACCACTCAGTCAGTGCCTGTTTTCTGGGTATTTTTCAGCTTGTGGGGAGGCTGGCCCGACATGGTCAATGTAGGAGGCAGATGCAACAAAAAAAAGTGTGTCTTTAAGACAAAATTTGTTTTAAAACACACTTCTGGAATTCACCAACAAAAGTACAAATAAACAGAAAATATGTAACTGAAATCCAAAAACCCCAAACAACCTGCACAAGAAGTCTCTCCCTTAATTGATGACCCCTGCTTGCCTTTTATACTCCGCCCAGCAGGAAGTACCTCCCCCCGGTGAGTATCAGTTCCAGGTAAAGCAAAGCAAAGATGTCTTTTCAAAATCAAAATGTTTAACATAAACTAAGATTAATTTAAAATGAGACAAACACCCACTTTGTCACAGAGCTATAAAACTATAAAATGTAATAAGTATAATGTAGAGCTATTTATTGTACTGTGGAACATTCTAATCAGAGCAATGATATCTCCGTAGAAAAAGGTGATGAACCCTCCACCTGAAAAGTTACACAATGCACTTTTAAGAAGAGTGTGATTGGTCTAACAGGGATTCACACTTCAAACTCTGCCCTTCAGCCAAGTGTTTGTAATCAGAAACACAAGGACATGTGGAGACATAATCTTAACCTCGGTGCAGAAATGATCAAAATATAGAATAGAGATTTCCCAGGGTTCTGACTCAGATCTGGTCCACTGGTTTAACCCTTTGGAGGATGGGGCAGATTAAGTCTTCATAGTTTCATATTTCTTTTCTGTTTTGTCTTTTTTATGTCAGGTCTGTGATGAGTTTGTGTCCAGAGTTAAAGTCTCGTCTGGAGGCTGCAATCAGAGTGAACCAGGAGCAGCTCCGGTCCAAGCCCAGCTCAGAGGCCTCTTCTCGTGGTCAGAGCAGCACCAAGACCCCCTCCATCACACTGAAGACAAACTTCCTCTGAACCACAGACATGTCCAGGTTTAGTCCGGATTTAACACTAATTTAGACCCATTAGTTTAGACCTGCTGTAGTCCAGGTTTAAAGGCACAGTATCTGATTTTTACTGCCTTGAAACGTGAAACCTGCTTGTCTCCATTAAAATATTATTGCTTTGCCTGGAATGTTCCACAGTATGGCAGTAAACTATCTATTGAGATCACCAGGCCAAATTACAGGTCAGATGTTTGGAGAGGTGACTCCTCCCAGAGTAAGATATTTTTATTAACATTAAAACACATCCAACTCAATAAATGCAGTTAAATAGATTTAAAGCAAAGCAAAGCCCCCTCCATGGAGACAAGCATGGAGATGACCATCCACCACAATGTTACCACAGTGCAGCATCAAAGTCTCTGTACCTGATTTTTATTATCTTAAAAACATGAGAAAAACAGAACTAGTTCATTTTAAACAATTTACAGTGGTCCAAATTTATTCCTCACTTACCTTGTGCATTCAGAGCATCCTAATTATTCACCAAGATGAGTTTAATAAGCACTTTCCAAAACTCACAATCCAGAATGGAGTTTTGCTGTGACACTAAAGCCAACAAATAGCATTCTAACACACACTTCCTGATAAAACAAACTGACAATAAATCGCATTATAATCAGATGCAAACAGCACACAAGAGACTTATTTTGACCTCCAGAGCTGCTTATACATTTATCTGTACTGGGGCAGGACACGTTTTGCTCAAACATGGGGTAAAAAAAAAAAAAAATCAAGTACAGGACCTTTAATCCTAGTTTAGACCTAGTTTAGTCCTAATCTAGACTTTATTTAGCCCATCTCAGACCTCATTAACATAATTATACTACATTAAAATTGATACTGACAGAGGTTGGAGGCTGCTTCTGCGCTTGTCTCCCTCTCCCCAGACGCTTTCCTTTTAATGAAGCTCATTTACGTTTTTAATCAGTTTACAATGGCCTTATGCGTGTGAGATTTTAACTAAATAGTGACACTACATTTGACTGTTTGAACTCTAACACACGTTTTGAAGATGAAGAAAACTGTGAAAATGTGAAAAACTTTAACCTAGATTGAAACTGTATTTTTATATGAATGTAATTATGAAATACAAAATACAGTGAGAACAATATTATTCAAAGGGACCAATATTTTACTAATAAACTTTTTATTTTCACAAGTGCAATGGACAAAAGGTGTTACCGTCAACTGTTTCCCTGTTTTTGTCAGTAAACCAGTCTCAGATGTTTTACTCCAGATGCCCTCCCCGTCACATCACATAGGTTGGACAGTCTTTCTTAGATTAGGATTATAAAGTGTGATGTCACTTCCTGATCCAAGGCGCATCAGCTGATTGAAATGATGGACATTTTTTAAAAAAAAGTAAAATTATATATTTGATCTCACTCATTTACATTTTAAGTTGGATAAATATACACACTGGTAATCCTATGTTATGTTAGATTTTTACTACATTATTTACATATTTGATAGTTTGTGGTTAAACGTACACTTTCGAAAGCTAATTGAACAGCACTGGGGCATTTTGCAAAACTTCACATCTGATTTCTTCCTTTGTTTTTATCAGTTGGACCTGAAATTAGGCCTGTTACAATTTTTTTTTAAATTGAAACTGATATATGTACAGAGAAAAATGTGATTGCGATGATGGTTAAATTAGCTTTTTACCGCAGCAACAGCTAAAAAATAACTGAGGAAACTACATGGACCATGATCCTTTGCACCGTTTCAGTGCAGACTACATGGAGAAAAGACTGTTATAAGCACTTTTAAGTATTAGTTGTTTGGATTATAGCATTTTAAAGGAAGTGACGTCATTACTTCAATCCCCAGTTTAGGGTTGACAGTTCAAATCCCGCCTGAAACCAGACTGTTCTTTCACTCTGCTCACATGAGCTTAAATGTAATAAGTTTAATGTTGTTTTCATGGTCAAATATTTGGAGAAAGCCTTAAACATCTGCACTTTACGGTTACACCTGACAATAACAGATTTTCATTTTGGATTTTGTGAAATGTATGATGTATGTATGATCTTGCAACTTTCAGAAGCAATAAAATGCATAACTTCTCAGACAAAATAATCTCATTAGTTTATATCATCATGTCCATTTCAGTATAATAGAGCTGCCAAAAGCATTGAAAATCATATACTAATCAATACTGGTTATATTGAGTATCGAGTCTTTTCCTTTTCCCAAAAAAAAAAAAAAAAAAAACCAGACCAGATGTTTTTTGGTAAAAGCAGTTCAATAATCAGTGCATAAACATGATATTAAACAAGAATACCGCACAAACAGGTCAAGACACTCATGCACATTAACAAGAAGAAAACAATAAAGACATGACTATAAAACTACTTCTTAGTGACTAAAATATGCAAAATACAATGTTTTAACATTTAAGGTGAGTAATAGATTAATGCTTTTTTTTAACAATATAAAGAAAAGTAGTTGCTTAAAAGAAATTCTGTACAACTGTCTGTAGTCTGGATTTAGGGTCAGTTCACCTCAGTTCACCCAATGAGTTAAACCCTACTTTGTCAAATTTTAATGAAACTTAAAATAAATCATAGCCAGAAAATCCAAATTTTTTAATTTTAGCATGATCAGACCAAAGGTTTCTGAGATATCACAATTTCATTTTCTCACTTTTTGTGTGGTCGCTGAATTTCCAAATCCAAATCTGCCATTTATTTTTGCATTTGTGTACTTTTGAGATGAATTACCTTTTGACCTATATGGGACATGCCCAACCTCAATGACAACAATAGAAAAAATGTAGCCCTATATGTCCACTACAACATATACAAAATCTGGAGGGGTTTTCTTTTTTATTTTGACACAAATTTACCTAGAAGTTGACTTACTCCCATCTTAAGACATGCCAAATTTCCATTCAGTGTATACGGCTGACAATTTTTTTGACAATACGTCTGATAATTTTTTACATGTTGTAGTAGACTTATAGGGCTACATTTTTTCTATTTGATTTTGATTCCTTATGATTTCCCCTTTCCAGAGATACCTTGGTTTTTCATATCGGATCAGTAGTTGCTGAGTAAATGCAATTTGAAATCCAGCGACCAAAAGTGACAAAATTAAATTGCTCCAATCATGCTAAAATTTGAGATTTTGGCTTTCTTGGTTATGACTTACGCATGCACCAATTTTCTTTGCAATTGGACAATGTGAGGGTTCTAATTGCAATTTTTTGGGGTGAATTGAGGTGGAAGGACCTTTTAGTCCTTTCATTTCTAGTGCTGGGTCTGGCATATGCTAGCTTGTTTCCATGGAGATGTTCACTTCACTTTGCCTCAGATGTTCCACAGTACAGCATTAAACTCCTATCTTCATTGAGACAAGCAAGTGACTTCACCTGTAACTTCCAAGTTACAGGTCAGATTTGTGGAGAGGTGACTCTGCTCTTAGTAAGTCGTATATGATTTTCAAGGTGTTTTTGAATGTGATGGTGGAATATTCAAGGCAAAGTAATAATAACCTCTTCATGGAGACAAGCAGGTGCTGGACTCTAAAAGTTAAGTAATGCACACTTACGTCCTGCTTTAGTTCTTGTTAAGTCCTAGTTAAATCCTGGTTTAGTTCTAGTAAAGTCCTGGTTCAAGTCCTGGTTCAGTCCTAGCCAAGTCCTGGTTTAGTTCTAGTAAAGTCCTGGTTCAAGTCCTGGTTCAGTCCTAGCCAAGTCCTGGTTTAGTTCTAAGTAGAGCCCGACCGATATGGATTTTGCTGTGGCCGATATGAAACCGATATAATGGTGGTTGGAGCTGCCGATAGCCGATATAATCGCCAATATATTTAGTGATGTAAAAATTCACTGTAAATGTTGAATTGTTTAAAAAACTTTGGTTTGGCTCTAGTGGATTTTAACTTGGGTTTATTTAGGCAACATTTATTGTTATTCTGCCTCTTTACATCATATTTACACACAGTAGGTTGACTTAATGGCATTTTGTATCATATTCTAGACACTAGTGATGGGTATTCCAGTTCTTTTTAGAGAACCGGCTCTTTTGGCTCGGCTCACTAAAAGCTGTTGGTTCTTTTGGCTCCCAAGCGGCTCTTCAGATTGTTTTGTTGCAAGCAGGACTAAAGCACGACTGAACCAGGTCTAAACCAGGACTGAAAAAGGACTAAACCGGGACTTATTTATTTTATACTAAACTACAGCCAAATATGCTCGTTTTTTTATTATTATTATTATTATTATTTTTATCCTATGTACACGCAAATTTCTCAAAGTTTCGTTTTCAGCCGCTACCAAACTACCACGAGTCTGCACGCGGCGTGAAGAGAAAAAGTGAGACAAAGAGAAAACACGGCTCCTAATAAGGATCAGGCTCCCGTCGTTCACTTCAAAGAGCCGGCTCTAAAAGCCGTTTCGTTCGCGACCGACCCATAACTAGTAAAGAAAGTAGCGCTATTAGCCTTTAGCCGTAAATACGTGCGCGCCGCGGTAATTAATTATATGCGCAAATGTCGTAATTCACACGTCTATTACATTACACGCTCATACATATCAGTGCAGGTCCAGTAACAAATATACGGCCAATATAGTCACTTTACAATAGACCAATAGAAAACAGCCTGTTGATGTGCGGGAGCTACAGCAGCTAACCCATAACAAATGACCAAAACTAGCCTCAAAGTCGACATATTTCCAACACTACCGCTCACACAGGCTCCTCCTCACATCACAAGTCTGCACTAATAAAAGTCCTTTTAATCCAGACTCAAACTGATTGTCCGTAAAAAGAAAATAATCTCAACGTTTGGATCCGTGTCCGCGGGTGTAAACAAACACACGTAAGTGACGCGACTCTGGTGTGTTCAGGGACAGTACGGACACACACACAGACAAATTTATCTGTCTGTAAATTGGATTAAATGAACATAATGTAGAGAGTCTAATATTTTTAACGACGTATCACATGCCCACGTGAAATATCGGCCCCTATCAGCAAGCATATCTGCCAACCGATATATCGGTAAGGCTCTAGTTCTAAGTCAAGTCCTTGTTCATTTCTAGTTAACCAGGAATGAGCCAGGAATTTTGTTCTAGTCAAGTCTTGGTTCAGTCTTGGTTTAGTCCCAGTACCTAATAAAGTGTCCTTCATGTGGGCTGCCTGAGTCTTCATCCCGTGGAGGAAACCACGTGCTGGAGGATGTCCTGGTCCTCATGTCCATGTTCGGGAGCTTGATACTGGGTAGGAGCGGTGTGTGAGTGCCCCTCACCTCCAATGAAGAGAGGGAGGAACACGGAGGGGTAGAGCTGCACCTGAAAGAAGAGAGAGGGGATGTTAATCCTCGGGTCTGGTGAAAAAAAAAGATTGTTGCTATAGATAACAATTTCGAACAAAAACTTTATATAATGGGGAAAAAGTCCTCAAAAAGCTGAAAGCCATGAATATGGAGGTTCAAATTAAAGTCTGGGACTAGAGTTTGCAAAAGTATCAAAAATAAGATACCAACCTATACTAGTATCGAATCTAGATACTCATTTGGGTAGATATTGGTACTAAAAAGTCCCATTCACAGGACAGAAATGAATCTTTCCTGAATATCTTAAGAATGATGTTGAGCTGTATCAGAGCAAGTATATAAAAGGACATAGACTAGTATACGCCCACGCCCATAGTATCCATGGGCGTAGACTAGTATACGCCCATGGACACTATAGATCCTACTGGACCACTGAGGGATTACACCCTAAAACCATGGGAATATAAAAGAACACTATGATTTAATGTTGAACATCACATTCTGCTGTCAAAATCAAGTGTTTATGTTATTATCATTGTGGTATCACAAACCGTATTGGGTATCGTGTGTAATCCTAAAGTATCGAAATAGAGTTTGAAACACTGGTCTGAACACATTTGAATCAGGCTCAATGCAATAGCCGCTGTAGTGAAAACTGTTAGCACTGAAATGATCTCAGTCTGGTGAAGGTGGATGGATTTCAAAAACAAAACAGGACATCACAAAGTGGAATGTTTACAGTGAGACTACAGGTTTTAGTTTTAAACTCACCTGCTCAAAGACGCCCAGGGTCTGAAGGCCCTCGCGGAACCTGAGACAAGACACAAAACAATCTGTAAAAAGTGCAGTTCATTCCCCGGTTTAGAAAAGGCTATTTGTATTGATACTTTGCAGCTGATGTCAAACTGATGAACAATCCCTGGGGGTATGATGCTAACTGAAGGCACTGCTCTGTTACTGCTTTATTTTACACAACTGGAACAGAGAGCACTGATTTAGCTCACTCTCACATTTTTGTTCAAAATCAAAAATCGAAAACAGAACCACAAAAGCTCGTACTGATCATACGATTCTGAAAATGTGCTGTTTAAATCCATTTTGTATTTACTGAGTTTTCAGACAATCTTAAAACTTTTTTTTGGCAGTCTTTGCTAATGTGTGTGCTGTGTCCCCATGGTAACTACACGTACAACCCCCCCAGCGTGATTTCACTGAAAAGTATCAACAGCACAATTTGTACACAAAGTAATTCAAAGTGCGATACAGAATAAGAAAGACATTAAAATTACAATAACAAATCAAAACATAAGCACTCATCATTTCACAGCTAAACCTAACCAACATGTCTGAGATGTACTTTGGTGCCATGGAGAAACTCGACCTGACCCTTGTTTAGGTCCCGGTTTTGGTCCAGGACTCACCTCTGTAAAGGCAGCTGCATCCTGGTGATCATACTGAAGGCGATGAGGTCATCCACTAGCCCTGCCCGCTCCTCCAGGCTCCTGATTGGTCGGTTGCAGCCGGACAGGGTCAGGTGATCAGAGCAGAAAGAAAGGACGCACTGGAGCTCTGAGACAGACTGAGCGGCTGCAATCTAGAGGAAAAAGGTCTTGCATTAGTTTATAACGTTACTTACTGGTTGGACTCGGGCAGCAGATGGAACATACGCAGAGGTAACTGCATAAATGTTACCTAGCAACCATAATATAAACAAAGGCCAAAATTTACACAATAGTTATGATTAGATTAATAAATATAAATGATTTTATTTGCAGACTTATTAGACAAAATTGACTTTTCAGAGCTTTTAACCATGTTATTATTGTTGCCTTCTCATTTACTCTCTGAAGTTGTATGTGGAGTGATCCGTGAAGGTCTGAGTCATCTTAAAATTTTTTTACACATAAACTGCCACTTATCTGACGTAAAACTATGATAAATATTGACCACAGGTACTATCCCACCAAAACTTTGGTTCTGTTGGGTCCTCTGTCACTCACCCTCTGGATGGTGGTGGTCAGGGGAGATCCGGGCGTCAGGTGGCCCGTGGTCAAGGGCTGGTTTTGGGGGAAGTTGAAGAGGAGCTGGTACAGCGCAGGTGAAAAGAACTGCAGAGAGGGGGCACCGTGGACCAGAGCCAGAGCCAGAAGGACACCAATGTCAAAGTACAGGTCCACTTTAAGTGCTGGGCAGAGGGAAGAGGGCAGAGATCAGACAGGACAAGGTCCCATTTGAAGTCCTGGTCTTTTAGTCGTTACCTTGAGCGTTCAGAGCCAGGTTCTTGCAGCCCTCTGGTCCCTCAAACACTTCACAGTCTTGGATCTGTCGCAGCAGCAGATCCAGGAAGAGCTGCAGAGTACCATCACCATTGAGGCTGCTGGGAAACAGAGTCACGTCGTCTGTGAACCTGAAACACAAACACGGGGGGTTACACCATAGACTGTATTAGGCAGGTTGCAGGAGCGAGGGCGATACAGTTTAAAGAGGGGGTATTTTACTTCTATGGGGTATTAACTGCTAACACACAGGAGGCGCTGTACCTGATACTCAGCTCTCTGCTCGGGTCAAACTCTGGGCTCCTCACCAGTCCCAGAGATGCCTCCAGGACGTTGTCTCTGCTCACCTCCAGGGGGCAGTGTCTGTTTGGGAGAGGGCGGTGCCGCTTGCTGTGGGGGCGGAGTCTGAAGGTCACCTGGTGCTGTAGACGGGGCATGGGTCGCAGCGCGCGAATCAGTTCCTGAGGAGAGGATGAAGAGGGGGAGGAGGAGAGGCGGGACCTAAGAGAGAGCGAGAGACATACAGAGAGAGACAGTGAGCCATGACACAGGGTGACATAGAATTAACCTGAGAGACAGACAGCTCCTGAAAAGGAGGAGGTAGTACCTCCAAGGTGGAACCTAGGAGAGAGACACACTTGAAAGACAAATCCAGGGACACAATCAGAGAAACACAGACATATGAGAGACAGAATAAAATACAGAGACAGGCCAGTGTCTCTCAGTCTTAGGGCACCTGAATACGTGAGGGGCTGTGTTCATAGTAACAGTATCCATTGTGACAGATTGAAATAAATGCATTCAAACAGTTTCACAAACTAAAACCCAACAATCCAGTACCTCTTGTGGCCAACAGGGGGTGAGCTGAGCCTGGACAGACTTCTTCCCTGAGGAAGGTTTGGAGATGCCATCAGCGCCGCTACAAACAGCAGAAGAATAACAGAGTCAGTGTGGAGGCATTTCGATGTTTCTGTTGTTGAGAGATGAGTGGTGGGACAGAACTGTGGCTCTGCTTAATGATTCTCCTCTGAGGTCCAGGACTGGTGAGGTCCCATTCATATTTTCCAATCTGGTGCAAGCATGTACTGTATATACAGTATAAATGGACATGTCTAAGCTGCCCTTGTTCCAAGCAGGAAGTGAGCATGGTTGTCCTTCCAGCTCTATCAACTCTGGCTCCAATTCACTTTCTACTGAAAAAATGTCACTCCTCTCTCTGTAACTGCTACTGCCAGACTTGTCATTGTGACCTTAAAATGTTTGTATTAATCCGCTCAACATGATCCGGAAATCAATCAAGATATGAACATTAATAAACAGACCAATCAGGTGCTTTCTTTCCTCGATGTCGCTCCCGCTATTGTTGGCAACAATCTGATTGACAGCATTGCTAAGCACCCACTAAATGCCAAACCAGTCATGCAGGCCTGAAGGGGAGTTGCGTTTAACAGCCACGCTTCTGATTGGCTCTTTGGTTGCTATGATACTCGTAGATGGATTTCCAAATATGGAACTAAGATCCAGATAGTGGCCATACCGGCTTGTCAAAGCCTGGTGTTATATGTATCTTGTATGTTATATGTTACATGTATGTTATATATATGCTGTTTGCATGTTGCTCACGTTTCCCGTCGATGGCACTGGTGCAATCTGGACACGCCCAGTCTCGAGTCTCGAGTCTCAGACCGGAGCACGTCCTGTGAGTCCCTCTGGATCCACAGAGACGACAACGGATTATCTCCATGTACCTGAAACAAAACAGGACTGAGCCGGGACTGAGCCGGGACTGAATATGGTCTAACTCATATAGTAGTTGTACCCGCTCTTGGCGGAGTGGCTCCTCCCCTCGGGGCATTCACAGAGCTCGGCGTCACAGTGTCTGTAAACTTCTAACAGCTCTGAGTACGCCCCAGACTCCAACTCCCACGATGCATCTCTGCACACAATGGATGACATCATATTTACATTAAGTTACTTTACAGAATTTATTATTGAGAGTATGACCTCTCTGGTGTGTGGTAAGAGTATAATATATAATATAATATAAATCATATTTTGTGACTATTTGACATCTGACCTCTATAGTACATGCTTATACCTGTAGTTCAGCTGTGACCTCTGACCTCTCTTGTGTATGTTTGTGGATTGTGTGTCTGTCATGTTTTGAGTATATTTGACCTCTGACCTCTCTGGGATGTGGATCCCGAGCCGCAGCATCTCTTCCTGAAACTGATCTTTGTTGTTGCACAAAGTGCATCTGAAGAAGAACAGCCCCGAACTGTGAGCCTGACGCTGCAAAAGACCAGAGTTGGACCAGAGTTGGACCAGGACTGAGACCATCAGGAGTTAAACAGTGCTTAGATCCTAACAGGTAAAATGTCAAGTTTAAATTCTATACGTTGTGACCTCACATGACCTCTGACCTGGACACAGTGGCGGTGGAACCAGCTGCTGTGACAGGAGGGACACTTGAGGATGGAGAATGACAAGAGTGGGTCTATGGGGTCCAGACAGATAGAACAGGACCGAGGAAGACTCAGGTCTAGACCAGGACTCAGGCTCTGGGACGGGGCATGGCTTGGGCAGTACGACCTGGGACAAGAGGAGAATTTAAGGATTTAGTATAGACTGTGTATATATAAAGAGATTTACTAAGGAAAGACACATTTAGCTTTCCGTATTTTATAAAGGCATTCCATTAACTTCTATTCTTTTCCTGGAGACTGATCCAAATAGTCAATACCCGTCTAACCTTAACCTAAACCCTAAATTTAAAGGGCCCATATTACTCTGTTTCCTGATCTCTGTTATAATGTTGTTCCATCATCACAAACAGACCTGGAGTTATATTTTGTTTCATTCACCGCTTTACACACAGACCTGCCATATTTAGGGTCTTCTCTCGAACTCTAGACACACTCTTCCACCTTGTGATGCGTCTGTTTTTAAACTAAATACACCTTTCACTAGAATTGTTTGTATGATTTCAGCAATAGAATTACCAACCTCTACTGAACTGCAGGTAAAAGGAGCTTTTCACATGAAAACTACCACTACATGACATCACAAGGTGGACAGAGTGTCTACTAATAAAGGGTTACTCTAACGTGTGACTGAAATAAAACACATAATATAATCTAAATATAATTTACATATTACAGAACCTTTAAACATTTTTAACACAGATCTGAAAATTAAACCATGTTGTTAATCTAAAATTGCCAGGCAATGGCCTGTCATTTGTATAACACTAATACAACCCAAAGTGCATTATATTAAATTAACGTCAAAACACAATTACACCACTATAAAAAGATACAAGATAAACAATTCTTGAAATCAACTGGAAGCCAAATTCAAAAGATGTGACTTTAGCCGTGATTTGAACTGGTGCATAGAGCAAAAGGAGCAAATAATCTAATACTGAAGAATTTACCTCCTGAGGACCACACTGTGACAAATAGAACAGTGACACTAAACATAGTGCTCATACTGACACACTGACCAGCCCTGCTCCTATGTTGTACACTCATGTAACACATATGTGCAGACTCACGGAAAAGGACATTTGAACTGAGACACAAACTCCAGCCTCTGTCCACATGGGAAGTGCACCTTCTTCCTGCACTTTGGCACACAGCAGCCCACACACGCCCCCTTGTGGTGACACCCAAAACATGTCTGAAAAACAGAAAACCAAAGGAAGAACAGAAGAGTTTAGGGTTGTAGAGCTTTAGTCATTTAGTTGATTAATCGACTGAAATGTGTAGTAGACTAATCGGTTTTTATAAGGATTTCTATGGAACAACAGCAGAAAGGAAAAGTCAGTGAGTGAGCTGTCTCTCACCAGTCGACTGGAGCGACGCATCTCTCTCTTTATGTCATTGATCAGAAACCCAAACACGCCCTCATGCTCTGCGCCCTTTTGATACATCCCGCACGAGGTCAGCTGCAACAAGATACTGGGGTCAAACCGGGTTTAGACCAGATTTAGACAAGGGTGTATTCCCTGGTTCAGTCCTGGGTTCAGTCCTGGGTTTAATCCCAGGTTTAGTCTTACCAAACAGAGGTAATGCACAGAGCATTTGAGTTCTGGGACTTTGATTTTGTCTCCAAGGATTGCCGGGTCGTCATCACAGAAACCACACAGAGCGCAACCTGCAACATCAACACCAACATTTCACAGCATTTACCAAGAATTATTGTTATATTAGTCCTGGGTTTAGTCCTGGGTTTAATCCCAGTTTGAGGATTTTATTTCATTCTAGACAAACACAAAACAGTTCAAACTTGTTTAAAGAAATATCTCACTTTCTTCAGAGACTTTCGGCTTCTTCCGCCTCGGATTCTTCCGCCTCATGTTGAATCTAAATAGAAATATTAACATTAATTACGGTTGTCGAAAGTATAGAAAAAATAAATAAATTATTAATAATAATAATAATCTTTATTTATAAAGCACTTTTAAAAACAAGGTTTACAAAGTGCTGTACAAGCAGCAATGAACAATACAAAAAGCATAAAAATAGCTAAGATGATCTCATCAGATCTCAGAAGCTCAGCAGGGCTGTGCCTGGTTAGTATGTGGATAGGAGAACACTGGGAAAATCAGGTGCCACAGAAGCCAGAGGCAAAAACTGTTGTTGTGTTCTTAGGCAAGACACTTTGGCAGCCACTTTGCCTCGTATGAACACGATGAGCGTGAGTGTTGGTCAGAGGGGCCGATGGCGCAGATTGGCAGCGTCCTTTCTGTCGGTCTGTCCCAGGGCAACTCTGACTTCATAAGTATCTTACCGCTGCCGAGTATGGAGTGAATGACTAATGCATCCAATTGTAAAGTGACTTTAAGCGTCTGGAAAAGCGCTATTGTTATGGTTAAGATACGAAAAGGGAATTGTTATAATTTATTCCCATATCGGCCAGCCCTAGATCGTCTTTGATAACATCCAGTCGCCTTATATATACTTTATATGTTATTTATATTCTAGACTGCATATTTCTATTGTTTGCATCATTCACTATTTCACTCTCAGGGTTTAAAGCGAAATAAGAGATACTAAACTCGAAAACACAACACATAACAGTCATATTCTGTAAATGAGCTCGTTTTAGCTCCATTGAACTGTTTCCTGAGTGTGTTTAAATGAGTTTCGTAATACATTCCTTACTGTGGAAGGCCCGTTACTGAGTGAACTTAACTTCGGGTCAAATTATCGCGATATAAGTGTTTCTTTTGGGGAGGTTAAAGAGTCGAAACGCACTCACCTCATGTCTGCGCCGCTCCGTCACAAACTGCACACTAAACCCGCTCTTTGTGCTGCTTTTTACAGAAATTTTCTGTTTTGTGTGTGTGTGTGTGTTTTTATCCTCTTTTAGGCTCGTATTTTTGCAAAACCGGATGTGTTCTGTTTAAATTTCCCTCTTTCAAAACAAAAGATGCGTGTTTCCGGTCTAGAGCGCCTCTGCTGGACACGGGGAGACATCACAAAAATAAAGAGAATATTCTACACAAATGTTCCTGCGCATTTTAATGGTGCACTGTGCAACTTTCCACTTTCTCTTCTCCATGGAGGGGTTATTATTTCTACGGTATGGTTGCTCTGTTGTTCTGCCCACACTGTACATTTCGTATAATTTTTTACTTTATTTATTTAAAAAAAAAATAAAGTCCCTTATTTTAATGCATAGTTGCTCATTTTAATGCTTATTTTTATGCTATCATATTATTATTGTTTAATGTTGCACCATAATGTCAAAACAAGTTCCTGTTTGTGAATTTTGATCTCTGTCATTCAATGGCCAAGTTCTCAAAATGGTGCCTTTAACATGAAAATGAAAAGGATTTTGTCTAAAATTACAGCACGAGGTAGGTTTTTAAAAAATAAATATGTTGATGAGTCAAAATCCAAAATAAAAAAAATAAATGTTAGGAACTGATAAATATTTGTTCATTTCATTAGTTCAGCTTGTTATTGGGAGACCCTGAAGTCTTGAAATCTCTCAAAGTTAAAACATGAAACCCAGACAAATACGGTAAATACACTGTTTTCCACCATTTAATATTATATAGACATTTTCTGTACATTTCAACAGTTGTTTCTATGTGGTACAATCTTTAAAATCTCATCATTCAAAACAAAACTTACAAAACGCGTCAAAACTCCTCTTTTTTTGTCCTTTTTTCGGAAGACTAGAAAAAATACTTTATCATATTATTATTAATATTACCATGCATTACACAAACTGAAACTTTAGTAACATCAGGAAACCGTCCCTTCGTAAAAACAAATAAAACAACCAATCCAAAGGCAGTAAAATTCAAATCTGAGGATCCGGAGCCGTGATCGGCCGTTTCTGAGGCGCAACAGTAAATAAAATAATGACTGAAGAAAAGGAGCTGAGGAAGATTTAAATAGGAAAAAAATATTTAATTTTAGTGTTCAGTTAGGTCCTGGTTCTGTCCCTGGTTTAGTCCCTGTTTCAGAGCCTCGTTCAGTCCTTGGTTTAATCCCCTAACCTGAAAAATCATGATTATTAATTAACCCAATAAACTTAACATTCCTAGATCTAAAAAAGAATAAACCAGGACTAAACCAGGACTAAATCAGGACAAAACAGTCAGAATAACATTAGTTCCTCAGCTCCTCCTCTCCACAAATCCCAAAGCCACTCCTGGTCATGTGACAGGAAGTGTGGGGCAGTGACTGATCTGGACGGGTCTGTTTATAAAAAGATTATTATAAAAACTAGATTTAATTTACACAAAAACAAACAAACGAAACGTGAGCGCAAGAGGCGCCGGAGCAGAGTCTAAGGAGACCAGAGCCACAGGAACACAGGAACACAGAGGGACCATTTCTGACACATTATTTAGTATTTTAAATTAAGTTCTGTCAATTTGTGGAAGTTTCAAAATTAAGATTAGCCAAAAAACCTGAAGGTAGTGTATGCAGGAGAAGTTTTATTAGATATTTTCGTAAATTATTGATCATTAGTGTTTGGTTTGGTCTGGTTTAGTGTTGAAACAATATTAAAATGTCAAACTCCATTTCAGTATTAGAGAATAGACTTGATATTCAATACTGATTCCGATATCACCATGATCATAAAAAAACACTCTTTCTTTAGACAATAGAATGTGATTTTCAGAATTAAATAGTAGCAGTTTCTTTTTTTATTCCTCAGTGGTCCAGGTCAGTTCCATAGTGGTCCATGGGCGTATATTAGTCTATGTGCTCTTATACTTGCTCTGATACAGCTCAAGATCATTCTAAAGCTATTCAGGAAAGGTACATTTCTGTTCTGTGAATGTGAATTTTTAGTATTGATACTTGCTCAAATGTGGATGTTGTTTTGATATCAGTTTTATTGTTGCTTAGTATCTGATTTTTGATACTTTTGACAACCTTAACCTGGTTGGAGACACTGTTGGCGCACTGTGCTCATAATTTTTATGGTTTAAAAACATTCTGCACGATACGTTTCGACTCTTCACACATCCCAAAGAGACTGTAGTGTCTTTAAAAAAACACAGATTTTAGCATCTACAACTTAAAGGTCCTACATTGCGCAAAATTGACTCTTGTGAGCTTTAGGCTAAATGAAAAAAGTTTAAATCCCTTCTCGTTTCTGCAGCTCTGAGTTTGAGTTTTAAATCTGTAGTTTCATAAATTCTTCAAAACAAAACACAATATTGAGATCTGTGTTTGAGTTTTCCCCATCTTGTCTCAGTTTCAAAGGATTTGCCCCGGTCTGAACTAGTGTAGTGTGAGTGTGAGTTTTTACTTAAATATTTGTTCAGGCCTGATTTTAACAACATTTTAGTTCTAAATTTGAGACAATTAGCCAAAAATGTGTTTACAACTGTGTTAAAGCTCATGACCCATGGCTCAAACTAGTCTGAAGAGGATCAGGAACTGAACCAGGGAATAAACCAGGACTAAACGGGCATTATACATTTTAAAATAAAATCTTTAGTTAATCTAGTTTTACAAATTCATAAAAATAAAATTACTTTGTTGTTGTTTTACCCTGTGTCATAAAACGCCTCTAAAAATCAATGAATTAAATGTGTTAAAACCAGGTCTGAGATTCTGCTCGACTCCTCAGACTAAACCAGGTCTGACCCGGGACTAAAGACCGGGTCCAAGTCCATTTAAGTCCAGACCTGAAGGATTTCTTGTGGAATCGAGCCAGACTCAAGTCCTGATGAGACATGGGCCCGATTCTGGATCCTAAACCAAGCTCCTGGTCAAGTCCAAGTCCCCGTCCAAATCAGATGGTGACTCAGGTCTTGGTGAGTTTGGTTAGACCTCAGACGTGAGACCTGGAATATTTCCATTTAGATCCCTTAGCTTGGATCCTGGTTCACTGTTGACCATGGTCAATCTTGGCTTCAGGTCTCAGGCAAAGAGCCTGGTCCGGTCCCTGGTGCGGTCCCTGGTCCGGTCCCCGGTCCGGCCTCTGGTCTCAAACATAGACCCTTGCAAGCGCGTCTGCCCCGGCTGAGGCGATGTAAGCTTTGGAGGGATGAAAGGTCACGTCGTAGATGGCCTCTTCGCTCTTCTTCCTGTGAGCGGTGATCTCCTGAACACATGTCTTACTGTCCAGAGTCCAGAGCCGCACCGAGCAGTCGTGACCTGCGGGACACACAGGTTTAATGCAGGAATATTGTGCTGTAGGCTTTGGCGTTGTATAGTTCTGTCTGATACATTCATGTTCAATCAAAGCATTAGTTTTAGTTCTGAGTGGGAGCAGACTTACTTCCAGACATCAGGTAGATTCCGTTGGGGTCGACAGCTAAACTGGTGACAGCGTCCAGGTGAGCCACCATTGAGTGGATCATTTTACCTGAGACACAAACACATCATTACATCTGTGATCGGAAGGGGCCTACCTCTGTTTATACAGAGTATAGCAGTATTCATCACAAGCAGTAGTATTCACAGTAGTAGTATTATTAGTACATGACTTGACCTGATTTGTGTATCTGCAGTATTTTTTGTACCTGACTTGTTGTCGAAGAACTTGATGTTGCGATCTTCGTGGGCGGTGATGGTCACTGGTAGCGTGGGATGACTCACCACTCGGTTTATGTGATTCACTCCTGGAACCACTGAAAGAGGAGAGGGTTAGAGAGGGAGGGCATCTGAGACAATCTGTACTACTCTTAATCATTGTGAGAGGAGAGGGTTAGAGAGAGAGAGCATCTGAGACAATACAGGAGGAGGGGAGGGCATCTGACTCACCGCTGTCGCCCTGCCCCTTCAGCACCAGTGCACTCTGGGATGTCTCCAGGTCGTAAAGCACCACGTCACCGGAGCTGAAGGACGC